AGAGGGGAGAAGATGATTATTTTAATGATGAAAATGTGTTATATATTGTAGAGATCAAAATTGAAACTAAATCAAATTAGATTAAATTTGTCCCCCCCATTATCTTAGTAGCATCTAAAAAGATGTGGGTCTGTCTAAAGTAAAAAAACGAGGGACACACTGCTGATTCTTATCTCGACTTTACATGTCAATAGTTCGAAACTAGAACGCTCCGTGTCATTCTGCGACTTACGGAAGTAAAAAAATAAATAATGAATATAATCGTGTGTACCACTTGCTTTCCATCGCTGCCTAGCGACAAGTATATATATAGGCATTGGTCCTGTCGGTCTCCAAGTATCGATATGAGAGCAATAAACAATATAACTGTGACATGAATAAATATGTGTAATAATTAAATAAAACTTGAATGTAGCTCAAACGTGAAACTTTAGAAAAATGTAAAGAGAAAGGTTTCAGAAAAACTAGCGCAGTTTCTTTCGCCATTACATTATCGGTTCATAGACGAAAGACATAAATGCAAACGATAAGCGAGAAATATAACAAGTCGTTAAATTGAACTTAATATCTAGTGCTACTCGATTTCAACTAGTGCTACTTATAAAAAGAAGTTCCGGTATGATGTTTCAAGAAAAACATCCTGAGCGTTCGAAGATAGACTAAGTAGACTGATGATATCCTGAAAGAAAAATAGCTTTACAGTTTATACATCATTATCTCTGTATTTTTTTTGCCGAACTGCGTATGCACTGACGAAAAACCCTCTCATTTGGCGACGAGAAATTCTCTGCACGAAAAAGCGCACGAAAATCTCCAGTTGGAAGGATATAACGTCGCCTTTTAACAATTTTACTTTGTTCCGTTTTCTTTCCAATAATCGTTTTCTCGATATTTCGCTCGCAGCGGCAAACTGTCTGCGCCAACTCCGACTCTCATCCGCGAGGAAACAGTAGGCGGTTGTGCGTGCGTGCGTGCGTACGTGCGTGCGTACGTGCCGGTTCACACGTGCGCCCGAACGTCGGTTGGATATACCGGCCATCAGCTGAGCGCGCGGCAAGTCACCCAGTTGCCAGCCCGTTATCGCGCACGACTCGAGTTACCTACGCGTTATTGATATCCCAGATCTCAGGAAGAGACACCCGCGAACCGCGGTGTCCGGACGCGGATATGAGAGCCAGAACTCATTCGCCACCAAATTAAACACAGATGTCCCGAAGCGCTCGCGTTCCCGTTTTAGCTCATCGAATATCCGGAGATGCTAACAAAGTCATTCGCTAGGTCGTAGAATATAGATCAAAGGCTGAACCCGTGAAATTGACGGAGTAGCTGCCGTAGCCTGGACGACTCGAGGTGCGTTTAGGCTGAAAAATTTACGCAACGTCTCTATATAGGGTATCCCAAAACCGCTCTATCATCGAAGCTCGGAACGACATCGTTCATTCTCGTAGCACACAAATACTTTTCAAGTTCTAAAATCGACGAATCTAGAAATATTTATATTATCAAAAGCGAAGAGGCGCAAACAACACGGTAGTATTATACATATATTATATATACCTTATTCACATCGTTCGCGATTTCAAATTGAATTCTGTTATAAACGGTAGTTTCTAGTTTAATTGCATAGATAATACATTTTTAAACACGACAAAGCAGAGCGTTTAAATAAATTCCACTGTTGAACTAGCTCCACCATTGAAATTTTTATCGGCTTTTGTCGGAGAGGAAGGCTATAGCTCGAGGCCGCTCACAAGAGACCCGTTGTTCCGCGATGGTAGAGCACCGAGCTGTATAATATGATAAAAAGATACAGTGTACGTATACTTGCGAACGAAATAAGAAGGGAAAACAAAACGCGAGCCGCGCGCAACAATCGCGAGATGTCGAATCAATGCTCGAGGATCGGCGGCGTGGCTTGCGCAATCCTCCGATCCGGTTTACGCGATTACGCTTTATGCAGCTTAGAATTTTTCATAGAGGAGCTCGGATCGGAGTGGCCGATAATACGAGTTTTCGAGATGGAAACACGAACAAACGAGTTGGTGCCGGGCGACCGCAGCCGCGCGCGCGCGAGCACGAGAAACCGGTTTCTCCTATCCAGTCCTGTACGCCGTGATAATTGCGGGAACTAAGAGTTGAGACAATACGGCCCCCACACACCACACACTGTAGCGTAGTTTCGAGCTTTAATCCTGGCTGCGCTCCTCGCATTTTACATTTGCAAGTATAATCTTGAATATATCGCGTAGGTATACTATACATCGTATTCGATTATTAATTTACGTATACTTGACATGGGCGTGTTGCTTTACGTAGGCGTGGGTAAATTTATAATTATTCTGGGTCGACGTGCACGAATAGTTTTCCTCCCCCGGCTGATGATACAATTATCATCAATTTATCTCGTTTCGACGGATATTGAGCTTCGTCAGCGTTTTATCTGAAAACTCTGTGCAAATATCGATGTCGAAAACATTTTTCGCGCGTGCAGGGCAATAATAACAGTTCCTTTGTCGCCACGTCGGCGTATTCACGCCGTTGTTTGTGTATGCCTCACAATCCCGGTATTATATTTCGATAATAAACACCTTCCCGACATACACGAATTTGAAATCGATCATTCGTTAGGACAGATCGCGCAAAATTACTTCTTGAATCATTTCGCATGTGAATTCGCCAACAGTTAAACAGTTCAACAAAAATACTATAACAAATATAAATACTTTAAATATAATAAACCTTATTCTCTTTTTGTGAAATTCCTTTTAAATCCGAAACAGAAACCTCACACAAATTTCTAGTAAAAAATAAAATAATCTATTTAATTCAAGCTTGCACTTGGTTGCTCTTTGCATACCTGACTGATAATTCTCTCAATTTTATTAAAATTGTGAAAATAAACTTATCACTTTACATTTATCTCCGGCACAATTATATTTTACGCGTTAATTGCAAGTTTGAATCATAAATTTCATTGATTTATTTTTCTTCTATCTAAAATCGAAAAATGTATTGTTCAACTTGCAAAGTTGTATATTTAACAATGTGTAATAATTACATTTATTATATAAATGTATTTATCAAATGTTTTAATATTTTAATAATTGCAAAATATTTACCTTTACCCGTTTTCTCTCGTACTTATCTTACTTCAAAGGAAACGTAGGTGCGAAGGTTTTGCAGAATCTCTGACAGAAGGTCCAGAGGATGATAACGAGGAGCAATGGGGAGCTCAGGAGCAAGAAAAATCGACAACAGCCCTCTCTGATATATCTCTCTTTGTTATTTGCGTTTCTCAAACGCAGCATAAACTGTCGTAGATATTACAAATTAGAAATAACATCACATAGCGTTTTCTTAATACGGGAAAATGCGCTCGCAAAGGATCACTAACGTATCGAGAAGCCGCGGCATTAATCGCGCGAGCAAACTATCGCGAAAACTACGTAATCGGACTTTCATATCGCGCAAAGGTACAAAAATATCGAAAGCACAGCGAGTGTCGCGCAAATCGTTGCTGTGCGACATTACGAATATTATCTGTCCCCTCTCTCTCTCTCTCTCTCTCTCTTTCTTTCCTTCCTTCTCTTCCTCTCTATCCCTCGCGAAACGAGAAACTCGCTCTCATTTCCACCCTTTCGCCATGAAGAGCGTAACTTCATCAATCCTCGTCTGTTCGCAGTAACTTAACGTCTAACATCCTGAACAGTATAAAGAAAGAGAGAATGTTCCTTTTTCATTTATAAAAACATGAAGAAAATTGAGATAGATTATCAACTCTCTATATTCGTATTGAGCGAGTTTTTGACAAATTCTTACAATCTTTGGAATTCAAACGGATAATTTGGAACGAGTCCAGAAATTCTCTCTTTCTCCCTTGCCAAACTTTCGTATATGTTTAAATCGCTTTATACTATTTAGGATTGAACCTTACTCGATCATCGTCGCGACGCTATATTACGCAACATTCGCAAACTTATAAATATTTCACGAATATTTATAGGCGATCCTTCGTTTACGTATACTTCACAGGGTGGAAAAACCCTCTCGCACACGCTCATGGAGATCGTGAAAACTTTTCCTTGACGGGACCGTAGAAACAATTTACTTCGTAAATGAGAGCGCGTATAAACGGGAGTGCGTCCCGCGGTGTGCAATGCAATTTGCAACATCCGCGCGCGTTAACGCAACGTCGTTTCGCAAGATCGATCCTGTTAACGTTCGCTTTGTCGACAAACAATCGCTACAAACGATAAATAATGGAGGCAATCAACGGGATGCGAGCTTATTTGTTTTTAATCGCTCTTGTCACGCAGGCGAGAGCGACGGAGACGTTCGCCGCCGCAACTTATCGGTAATTGAATTTTTGTTATCATTTTGGACTTCATCCAATTCTCTTTCACGATGTGTTCCACGCAGGGACCACCATCGGGGATACGCCCCGAGAGAATGTCGTTAGATATTAATCTACCTTATATATGATATATGTATATGTATATATATATACGTTCCGTAATATTATTTTTAATTCTTCTTCCAGAAAAAAACTTGTACTGTTTTCTCTCTCTTACCCTATACAAAGAATGAGATAAACTTCTGCAACGCCTTCAATAAAATTCTCAGACACTATAAAAACGTGATTAACGACGATACTCGCCGCCGTTATCACATTCGACATTATTGTGTTTATCACGATATATAATATTTCAGAAAGCACATATACATATAAATGGTTCCATCCGCGTTTAACCCTCGACAGTATAAACGGACGTTTCAATAGATTTCAAAACTTCACGGAGGGAGGGGAGAAGGGGTTACACGTACGCACATTCAATTATAAAATTGAATATAAATAAAATGATCACAAAGAGAGTTTTCGTGATTTCAGCTTCTTTTCACGCTTGACTCCTTTATTTCGCATAGCAACTTCGAATTTGTTATAAAATATATCATATATATGTATATATATATATTATATACGGTATTTGCAATATAATATAAATTACATCGTACTTGATAATATAATATATACGCGGACGCATTCACATTTTCATGTAATAAAAAAAAAAGAAGTGTTATACTGTATAGGATTAACCTTTCACGTGTAAAACGTATATCCGCTCGCAACTTACCATACATTCGTAATTATCTGATAACAATTAAACGAGGCCGCGAGTATTGCTTTCTATCGCTCGGTAATGCGACAATTTTGACTTGCGACGTCGTTTGTAGCGTTTTGTTATTAAAAAACTGCTGATTACGATAGTACATGTTGATACGCGGTATGAGCCAAATATCATTCCCCGAGAAAGATAGATCCGCATTTTAGATTTATAATTTATACGCGTCGCGCTTCTTTTCTCTTCAATCATCAGTTTTTCGAAGATAGATATCTTGCGAGGGAATTCTATAATTTTTTCTTCAGACGGTACCTTCTCGGGCAATGATTTACGGTCGTACCGTATTGTGAAGTGCCAGCTGGCTCGAGACGGACGAACGTCTCTATGTCTTTCGTTTGTTACATCAGCAAATCAGTCTTACACCTTCGTGCAAATGCGAATAGCCCAATTTCCAACGCGCGGTTAACTTTACACGTGGCTGTCCCTCATTCTTACGTGACCTTTTAGCCACTTCTCTTTTTTTTTCGTCTTCGTATGAGGTAAGGGGATGTAGATTTACGACTCGGGAGAATGGTGGGAAAATGTATCTGGACGCGTGATTGTGTCTCTTCCCCCTTAAAGCTTTAACCGGTTCAGTTTCGTCATTTAGATTATTAAGAAACAAGTTTTGAGCTCGGCGTTGTAAATTAATTTCTTGTTCGTGTATCGATACTTTATATCGATGTTTCTTTTCCGCGACAAAGTTGCAAAAAAATATTGGTTTCTTTTGTAAATTTTTCAAATTTGAATTTTTTATAACAAGACAACTTGGACTCGATCTATAATTAATATTTTGAAGTATCAATTATATTAATTATTTTTCTCCAATAGTCATCCAGAAAAACGTAACTTTTCAATTAATTATTGTGGTATCAAATCGATATTTTTTTCCAATAAAATGCAACAAATTTTATTTTATATGTTGTGTGAGATTAAGATTTTACATATTGTTTGATTTGCAAGATCTTTGAAATCGCAAGATACTAACAAAAGATCCATGATTATATTCTTGGATACTAAAAATTTATAGAGATCTTTTGTTTCACAGATTCTAATATATAAATATATATTAGAGAGTCTCTCTCCTCTTACATATATACACATATGTATTGGTATATATATGTGAGATTACGTAATCCAGACCTTTTGCTGTCCGGAAAAAAATATTAATTAAATACGCACAGTGTTTACGAAATTACAAGAAACAAGTTTTAAAACAGTGTTGCATCATCAGAGCGTATGAAAAAGATTAGATTTATTTTCAATAAAAATTATAATTTATTTTAACGTATAAAATAAAATATATACAAATAAATCATTCCATACAATTTCTCTCTTAAACAGTGAATTTCATTGCAACAGTATCGGGTTTTTTTGCTTCGCCGACTTTGAAAGAGACAGTTCCATTTTATCACAAAAAAAGAACGAGTTCAATCTAATTCTATTGAGTCTCGTCGCGGAACGCATCCAGTTGTAATCCAGTTCGTAAAAGGAAACCTCACTTTCTGGCATAAATATTCGATTCACCGGTTAAAGCGTCGCCACCCTTTGTAAGTAAACCACGAAGAGGTTTTCGGTTTCAGCGTATTCTTTCTTTCTCTCTCTTTCTCTCTCTTTCTCTCTCTCTCTCTCTCTCTTGCACGAAGGTAAAACCGGAGGGACTCGTATCCCCTACGCAACACGTTTCTCTCGACCCCGCGAAGAAAACTTTACGCGAGCGTCTTTAATCTAAATCCTAACGATAATCACATACTTGCTTCTTTCTCTTAATCACTTCGTAATTCTTAATATCACAATACCGCCACTAAGGTCTTTAATCGCGCTACGACGAAAAGCGACCGAAGCAAAGTGAAAAAAAAAACAGAAAAAAGAGAGGAGTAAAGAAATAAAAAAATATATATAGACACAAGAAAAACGCGAACAGATATTAACCACAACGTAAGTAGCAGTACGTACGGTAGTCAACGAATAATAACAACAATAATAATAAACATGACAAATTAAAGCGAAGATTGTGAACAACAATTTACTGGCAGAACGTTAATCCTCTCTCTAATCCTTCGTCCCTTTCAACGTGTTAAGCGGCGAACGCGAGCTCATCTCGTCATTGTTCCTCTGTGAAAATCTGTTTGAAGCTACACAGAGTTAAAGCGGTACAGTTTCAAGATGAATCGTCTCTCAGATTATACTGACGATAAGAGATATATAGTTCAACTATCTAGTCTAGTGGATATACATTTAGTCATTAGTCTGCATACGATTTTGCACGGTTATTTTTTTATATCTGATAGACAATAAGGTTGTTTCTTGTCTGTTAATTCAAGAAGTTTAAGCTACATTCTGAAATGTTGGAAATTGCACCGCTTTACTCTCTATCTCATCAAGGGATCCTCATTAATCCCGTGAACTATATACGGAAAATCTGTGACGAGTTTCACGAGCTACGAACTTTTCACAGTATCTACCGGAGAACATTCATCGAAATACGTTCACAATCGCAGGACCAAAATCTCAAAATACGAAATATTGAAATTTAACTGAAACAAAACACCACGCACTAACGATGCAGACTGAAGGCGAAAGACTTACGCTGCTTTCGCCGACAATTCGATCACTTAAACAAGTTACCGTCGAGACGAATCACGCGGTAATGATCGCGTAAATATTAATATGTTTATCGGTGATACGCGGGAACGATTTATCAGCATCGCGACATCGAGAGAAGATGTTATTATAATTTAATGAGATTTTTCACACATAGCGACTGTTTTTTTATGAAAAGAGAAAATGACGAGGGAGAAAGATAGATCGATGGAATGACGATATGGGCTGAACATCAGTACCATCTATCGACAGGATATACAGGATGTCCCAGAAAAATGTGCACTGTTAAAACGCCCTACTGAAATTACTTTTGTTGCAACTTTTGAGGAGAAAAAGATATGTTCCCTCGAAAGTTTGCAAAAATGTAAAAATTAATTGGAAAAATGTGATTATTTGGATTCTTACGCTTCTCAATGTAAAATAATTCGATTATATGATTATTCTTGATGTCAACATTGATGTCAACGGTGACTCGAACAAAAATGACAAGTGATGAAAAGTGAGTGTCTTATCAGTACTCACTTCTCTGGGACTATCCTGATTTTCATAAAAGATTTCTATTTGGAAAATGTGCTGCCACATTTCGCATTTCACGATGAAAAATGGACAAATGTGTACGTGTGAGAGACACACGAGCTTCGAAGGATCGTCACTAAACATCCGACGCGACTAATAGCTACCTGACTACGATTAATCAGTAAAACGCGCTCTCTAAAAACTAATCATACTCGCTACGTATCACGTGAAATTTGTTACAAGTCTTATAATCACATATCCTCTTCAAGAACGAAGACGCGAGGAGCCATTTCCTCGCGATATAAGATCTGCTACTACTAGAACTTGTCTCGCGCTATCACAATTATCGAACGCGTAATAGGCCTCTTTCTCTCCTTGAATACAGTGTATTGCATGGTGACAGCAGACAAAACAAAGAGCGATATTGTTGTCGTTAACCCTTTAACCGATTCGCTGTTCAGCAGTGAGAAGTGCTAGGTTCAGAGTGTTAGATTCATCCTTACCGTTACAATACTTCTAACTCCAAATCTAGATACCTAGATTTTGGAAGCCTTAAATTCTACGGTCCTCAACATCAACGATCTTCAAATTCTACGTATCTTATAAACTAGCCTTGCAAAATTTCTTTCTTCAATATATCCAGCGTCCTTCAAACCCAATTGTTTAACTTCTGGATTGCAATTCAGCTGATTGAATTTAATCCCCGTGCATCTGCATATTGAGATGTCTATGATCCTCAAGTTCCTTAGATCCCGACTTTGTTAAACTATTAGATCTGTGGACGCCTAAATTATCCGATTTTTAGATCCATGCATCGCTAGACTTTCGACATAAGATCTAACTTTTATAACTGTTTCGTTCAAACTGCAATTATTTTATACTGTAAAGTAGCATTTCTACGAACTACTCCATTTCTTTACACATTCAACGAATAAATTCTAAACACACAGAACAATCTCATTTCCGCGCTCGGGCGCGATCATCGATCAAAAAGTTTCTACGGTCTCTCGCAAGTGAAGTGTCAAATAGAAAATCCAAATGTAATTTCCAAGTTAAAGGGTTAAACGCAACACTTTGCGCAATCAGTAGTACGCGAATTTGACAACGTGCCGTTGCAACGACGAAATCTAACCTCGGGTCCACATCGCTGCTTCCATCATCTCAGTTTTTTTTTCCTTCCTGGTCTTCCGATATTGTATAAATTTGACTGACGCCCACAGGGCGGCAGACTGACAAAAATGGCCACACCCATTTAAGCACAAACGGGTGATCATTAAACGTGCAAAACCCCGATGTGTGATCTCGAGGCTCCTCAATGAGATTGCTGGAAAGACCTGTAGAGTTTCTTCTTTTGCAGAGTGAAGTCCCTACTGATCATAATGGTGCCACCACGCGTGAGATTTCTGCAAAAAAAAACGAATCGGATTTTAAGTTTCATTACATCACAGAATGTGTATAATATTTTGCAACGCGATATTTTGTAGAAAAGCTGGATGGATCAAAATGATTTAGATACGATCTAATCGTACGATCTGAGTCAAGAAGGTGTTGCGATACCGTTTCGTTTTATCGAAGTGAAATGTGAATAACAACGGATAATTATGAAACGTAACAGCAGAAGATCTCGGTCCGACGATAGTCGAACAAGGAAATAAGCGAGATATTTTTTACACAAAATTAAATTCCATTAACACGAGTAATTTAAAATAATTTAAATCAGGCTCTAATCGTAAGACTTTACTTCATCGAGTGTTACTCACTTTAAGAACTGAGGCAGCAGCATGTGCCAGGACGTATGATCCTGCTTCAGCGTGAGATAAAGCTCGAACGTCGACACGGTACTGGGATCACACTGTATTCTCGACAGTTTGCGGCACATACTGTCCGTCTCGAAGCTGATGAACAACGTGCAGCCTCTGAAACAAGTATACATCGTTTTTTCAAACATATTGAAAATTCCAATAGTTTATTAAAATTTGGAGAAACATTTGTTAATTAAATTTAGAGAAACAGCGATAACAAATCTGTTCTCAAATTTGACGTGTTTCTACTTTTCAGTATCAATCTTTAATAAATGAATAAAACTGTGAAAATTAAAAAAAAATTTGAAAATAAAATTCGATCAAGGTTTCGCTTGGAAGAATAGCGCTCCAAATATTTTATACAATTGCCGATATCATCTTTAATTTTGCTATTCGTGAAAAACGAACAAACACTTGGAGAAAAGTTTCGCGATGTTTTTCCAGATAGACACTTGTTGCGCAAAATAATATTTATCTGGACTCTCTAATTGCGCTGAATTGTTCAGTTTCGGATTCGCGGCGAATCGAAGGAGCCGCCGTGTTTCGGCGAACACGGAAAATTATGCTTACCGAAGGCCACAGGGCTCGTTCTCCGCCATGGTAAGTACATCTTTGGCTATCTTGGGCAGCAAATCGGCAGGCAGGAGGACCTCGCCGCAAGCCAGCTGGGCGTGTTTAGCCCTCCTGAGCTCGACCTCCAGCCTCTTCGCCAGCGCCTGACAGGCACCGTCCAATTCGTCCGTCTCGCTTCCAGCTGTAACAATTAATTAAACGGAATTAAGCGCGCGCACGCTCTCAGCCTCCCCGTCGAGTAAACTAACGTTAGAGCGGTCAATTGAAAAGAAAGTGGCGGATCAATTTTTCCCCTATTTTCAGGCATACAGACAGCTCGACGATCATTCCCCCAATTAGTCCCCGCCGAGACCTAAATAAAATTAACTCGGATCGACCAATTGTCTTGTTTATCACCAAATTAAATATCAAGTTAAAATACAAAAATAATATCTCGTCATTTCTAATTCAAATTTCCGCCGGGAAAATGTCACGGTAGCTGAAAATACACTTGGTGAAAAGCGCGAGATGCCTCGTATACTACGAGATACGAAAAATATGAAATGATTGACGTAATCTTGGACATTAACATCAAATCGGCCGATATCGCCGGATTGTGGACGTAATCGAAGGCCGCGGCGAAAACGAAAAACATATTTTGCTCCGATAATGATTCACGTTATCTGCCATTCCACCTAAATGTAATCCGAGCCCCGGTATAATTTTAATCGCGCTTTAATGCTCGTTTCCACGATTAGATTTTAGATTATTACCCTAGTTTTATATATGTATATATACACACATTGGCGTTAACTCGATCGCAGCTATAATCTCGATTAATCAATGAGATCATCGCTTTATTACCTAAAACCGTTTGTGCGACGTAACGTAACAAAGAACAGTCGGGAAAGAAGATGCAACGTCGAATCTCGTCGGGCATTTCAATCTTTCAATCGATGCCCGATCATCGAGAGAACATTTCAACACTGTGACGTTTCTTTACTTCCTATGTCGATCACTCAACCTACTATCCCGAGCCCAGAGCTCGCTTCGATCATTGTTTCTAGCGGCCCGGCGGCCGGGCCGGCGAAGACGAGGTAAGCTCGTCGGTAACGTACGAACCCGTTTGACCTCGATCTTTTTATCCGCCCCCTGTGTCGCGTTTACCAAAAAATCAACGCGGCCTTACTCGAATAATTAACTCTTTCGTTTCGCGCTCCAAAATTTTCATCCCTTACAGTACAAACATGGGTATTTCGCGTCCGATCGATTCCGCGTCCATGGTTTCTCGAAACTTCAATTAAAGAGTTCCCAATTATACTGGCATTTTACTTCTTTCCAAAATGATATACAAACATTTGTTCTAGATACCTGAAAGTACGTACATGAATTTTTGGAGATTTTTGAGCTACTTTAAATAGGTGAAAAAGTAGTCGGACACGTTGATATACCTATATTTGTACGGATAAGTTTTCTACATTGTTTATTGTAAGGGTTAAAATATTAGCTCCATCGCCGAACTTGCTGGAATCGAGAATAAGAATAATCTTACGGCAGATCGAGTTGCTAATTAATTACTATTAAAAATAATGAAATTCTCTCTCCGTTTGTATCCTATAGACCTATAAGCGATTTGAAGCAGCAATTAAAGTCAAGTACCCGCTTCACGTCGGTTAATCCGTATTTATTTACCGGGGAATCGGGAGAGAGCTAAATTTTTGGAAAATTTCCATTTACAAACACACCGAAGGCAAGTTCGTAAAGTCGTAAGTGGTAAACGCGACGCGACGCGACGGGGGGAACCGGGGAACAATCGAGGAGCACGGAAAAACGGCAGCGAAGGGCATCTCTCCCCCCATCTCCCTCGTACGATCGGAAGACCGCTGACGCAACCATAATTCGAGGTTACGCCGGTAAATCGCCGGTGTGCCTGAAAATCGGCCCCCGACCGTGCATATTACGGAGCTCGAAGCGAATTTTCGGACCGCGACGCGGTCGGCGAGACGTGTCGCGAAGCAAAAATCAGCTGATTCCCAGCCGGCGTTGTCAGCTGAGAACAACGACGGCTCGCTTCGAGGTGCGGAGGAGGAGGAGGAACGGGGAGCAACAATTGACGGGCGACAATTAAAAGGAGAAAGATTTAAAGTTAAAGGGAGACCGGCGCGGCGGTCTCGAGAGCCGGCACCTTACCTCGGGTGTTGCTGAAGTCCACGTTGACGGGACACGGCAGGACCTCCATGATTTCACGACAATGTCCAGCGGCGGACGCACAATGGACACGGCCTTCTCGTCGGTTTCGCCGGACGGCAGCGCGATTCTCCTCGAGAAAGAGTCGCCGACGGCGCACGACGGACAAAACCGTGGGACACGCGACAAAAGCGATCGCGGGGGACAGCAGATTGTACGATATCGGGACCGCAAATTCACGAATTCGGACCACGGCGGAGCCGCTTTCACCGAAGTCGTTCACGCGAGATTCGCGAAGGACACCGGAATCAAACTCGCAACGAGATCACCCCTTTCGACTGATTGGCCGCCGGTGGCTGACGCGACTTATATACGGGAATCCCCACCCGGCGGCAGCCTCTCGCTCCCCTCGCCGCGCGCCGCCGCCGGTCGACCGCCTAGCAACACCGCCTACGTGACGTTTCGGCAGTGCGTCCGCGGCTCGGCCGTTTCCGCCGGCGCTCGCGCCGGCCTTCGGCCGCGCTCGGCACCCCGACGGAGCGAGAGAGCGTGCGAGAGCGAACCAGAGCGAACCCGTTCAGAGGGGGGCGGGAGGGAGGGGGGAACCTATCCGCTGTTGCCGGCGGTGACGACGGTACATCGAGTTTTTTTTTTTTCACCCACGATGCTCGTTTTGTTTTCTACTCTTTCTCCCTTCTTCTCTCTTCCCTCCCTCCCCCCCCCCCACCGCCCTCCTCGCCTTCTCATCTCTCGGCGGAATACGTGCATTACGTCGCGCAACCTTTTATCGCGGCTTTTAACACGACGCGAGAGACGCGCGTATTAAACCGCAGGGTGAAATTATTACGGGGTGGAGGGGGGACGGAGGGAGCGGGCTCTACGCCGGTAGCGGCTTTTTAAGCGTAGGCGATTTAGGCAAAACTCTCTCGAGAGAGATCTGCCCGGTGTGTAAAAAGAGAACGCGCGCACAACTTCCTTCTGGCTACATCCCGGTGGTGGAGGGAGGAGGGAGAAAAACCTGTTTTAGAAATTCAGAATGAGGTGTTGTGTTTTGCTTGTAGCTTGTAGCGCAGGGATCAGCTGACCCTGGCTCCGTAGCGAAGGTTGCGGGTAAAAAGTCGTCACGGCAGGAATCACGATCGAGAGAGAAAAAAAAAAAAAGAGTTCGTCCCTTGGCGAGAATCTCGATAAGAAACTCGGAGATATTTAAAGACGTGTAACCTGTATGATGAATCGAAATGTAGAGGCTGATTGTGAAAACCGCGCGCGCGTTGCGTAAGATTTCCAATTGTGTTATAAGAAGCGCTTGCTCACGGCGCGCGGCGGCGGCGGCGACGCGCTCGATCTAAGCTCTACCGGTGGAGCACGAAAAGTATTTCAGAGACAATTCAGACGTTGATTCACCCGTTATATTTACTTTATCGCCGTCCGTAAGGAAATCCGTATCTTTTTTAATCGCGATACTTTTTATGTCACGCCGATTAATCATCATCTCTTTCTTTTTTTTTTTTGCCGAGTAATATCCAATTCGACACGGTCGTTCGTGCAACTTTTTTTTCCGATACCACTCTATTTTTCGATCCATAAGTCGCCCCGTCACGTTATGAAACGGAGAAAATGTTGTTTGCTTTCGTCGGAGAATTATTTTTTCGCAGCTGACAAATAGGTTGTACGTGATAAGTGTTTCTCTCTCTTTCCCTCTCTCTCTCTCTCTTTCTCTCTCTCTCTTTTATCGGTCTCTAATCCGGAGGACACGTTGGGTCGCACGCGAGAGGAGGATTTATGTAACGAGAGTTACAAGATTAGCGCGCCGTTTACGGACGCCGTTTTAATACAAAGGTTTTAACACAAAGACGGTCACGTTCGGACAATAGATCCGGCCGAGGTGCATTTGGAGTAAAAGCTTCATATTCGCGGGAGTTATACGCTCGACGATAAACCGCCGCGATTATGGAAATCGCGGTAGAGAGAAAAAGAGAGAGAGAGAGAGACAGAGAGAGAGAGAGAGAGAGAGAGATTAAGGGCGCGAGAGAGGTTTACGCGACGAGGAAGGAAGAATTATCTATTTTACACACATCTCGCGTTCTCGATTTCAAAACAAATCACGAGTGATTCTCTTAGGAGCACTCGAGATAAAGAACGTTAAAAATGATCTTCCTGTTTGCTCGCTGTTTCAACGTTTCTGTCAACCCCACGGGTGAATTTTAGAATGACGAATATGAGAAAGCGGCCGAACGCGTTGAGCAGGAAATACATGAAACACGCGAAGGAACACCGTATCGAACACCTGTGATTTCGAGGGGCTATACGTGGGGCTACGTGGACACGAAGTGCCACGGGGCGAGGGGGGACCCAACAATAACCAGATCGCCGGCTCTAAGAATCCGTGACAGCCCAGAAGATCCGAGAACCTGCTCGACAGGTCCCGACGATCTATAAATTCGGAGTTCTATGCCGCCAGCGATCCGTGAATCTAAGAACCCGTCGAACGAAGACAGTCCACGCACGGATCGTAGCGATTCATATCGCTGAGGATCAGCGAAAACGTGATCGCGTATCGCGTTTAAATCTGGTAAAAGTCGACGAGTGTACACGTCTCTTATCGCTTATCGTTTATAAATATACAAGCCACTTAAGCGGCATCGGTCGAGCGTGGTATCAGGCAGATAAAACAATCCGGAGCGATCTCGTTTGAGGCCGAATTTCGCGGCGACGATCGGCAATCGGATTATTCGCGGCGGATTGCCGATTGTTGCCGATATGCCGATTCCGCGCGGAGGCTCAGCAGGGACCGACGCATGCATAAATCCGACGATCTGCGAAACGCGAGATTCTGGCTGGAACAACAGCCCGCCTGTAGATTCTGGAGAATAACATCTCTATCGGAAGTGTCCGCTTTTATCTGTGGCGCTCGCTCGCGCGATCGCGTTCTCGTGCGGCAAACAAGCTCCGCGATAACGACGCCGGGCCTCGCCGGCCGGCCGGCGAGTCGCGATCAACTTTCGCATTAGCTCATTCACGCGTCAATCAAAACACATTAATTTCGCGGATCGCGAGACCGAGTCGCGAGACGACCGGCGAGAGAGGAGCGGAGTCACGGTTCTCGTAAATCGGGGGGAGAAGCGGGGAGAAGAGACGGAGAGAGAGAGAGAAAAGGAGAAACAGAGAGGAAAGGAACCTTTAGCTATGGTCGTCGCTCCCCGCAACTCGGCCGATCGATCTCTTTGTTTCGCTTACGTGGAGGCGAGTACGTGATCGCGAATAACATGACGTTCGTGCCGTCTCGCTCGTTTCTGCCGCGACTCTCTTTCTCCACTAAGTGCCTCTATCTCCTGCTCCCCCCCCCTCTCTCTTTCTCTCTCTCTGCCTCTATCTCTCCGTCTCGCTCGCTCTTTTCCTCTCTTTGTCTCTCGCCCGCTCGTTCTTTTTCTTTCTCTCCCTCTTTCTCTCTCTCTGTGTTACTCCGTTTGTTCGCTCCATCTCTGTCGGACCTCGCCGGGCGATGCGCTCTCCGATTGCATCGTACATACATCCGACGACATAATCGAAGAGCTGAATTTTATTAAAAACCGGTTCGGGCGGCAAAAAACGACGGGCTAGAGGTAATAATCATCAAAATGCACCGTGAAGCCTCGGCTCCTCGTCGTTTTTCCTTTACTCGCGCGCGGATCGGTATTACGCGGTGTATAACAATTACACGGGAGCGGCCTCGGTGGACGGAGGGCGGGGGAGGGGAAAAGGGGAACGAGCGAGCGCCTACATACGGAGCTCACTAATCCGGCGAATTATCCAAGGAATTACGGGAAAGAAAAAAGAGCCGTTGCCGACGCGAGAGCGTCTAAAAGCGAAATATAATCTTTGCCTCGTGTATACACGAGCGCGCTATACAAAGCCATCTGACGATCGTTTACGTGTAGAGATAAGACGAGAGTCTGTTGATACTCTCCTTATCAGTCAGGAAGACAGGGTGTTTCATAAATGCTGAAATCGCACATCTTCGAGAGGTTCAAAGGGAGATGTTTATCGAGGAGTCGTGTGCTAGAGCCTCTCGGTATATTACGATATATATTCTCAAAACGAAGGTGTCGTCGTTATCGTCACGTCCGTCATCGCCCTCCATTGTTTTAACATCTCAGGTTTAATTTGAGCAAAACGTCTTCCATTCGCGGGGGAAAGATGCGTCTCTCTTTGTGTCGATTCGAATTTCGGGGAATAAGCGGCGCGGAAGGTTGCGGCTCGGTCCCGTGCGTGTCGATGCAAGTCCGTGCCTGTTTAAAGCCTAAAAACCACGACCTTCGCGTCAGGCCTCATGCGTCCTCCCACCCCCCGCATTGTCCCCAAAATCCAAAAAGGACGAAAAGAGAGTGGCACCCTGTAGCGCACCACCCGCGCGCAACGGAGATAGGCCGTCCTGGTGTCACGGACGGCCGTGCGGTATTGTATATACGAGCAGCGTGATTAATTCTCGGCCGATTAGCGACATTAATAGAAACGCACAACGCTGCCGCGTCGTTACGTAACTTCGCGAGCCGGCGCGAGCGAGCGCGTATACACGCACGCACGTGCACGGACGCGCGCGCGTGTGTATCTATGTACATACGTATATACATAATCGCGGCATGTGTAATCGTGTCTAACGGAGATCCAGAAAAATCGATAGCATCCGCGCGCGCGATACCGTGTCGTTTGTAAACGCGTGTGACCGGCGAAGTTATAAATATACGCGTAACGAGCAGAGTGAAACTCGCGCGTTTGGTCATTGGGGGGCTGACTTCACGCATGGCCACGCGAGCGAGAGACGCTCGCTCGTATGTATGTAATGTATGTACATATGTACAATACAACCGAGTCCCCTTTCCCCCTCCCCCTCTTTTCCCCTTTCTGCTCCTGCTTCTCTCCGGCCCCCCCACAGTTGGGAACGAGGGGAAACGACGAGGGGGCCTCTCTCTCTCTCTCTTTCTCTCTCTCTCTTCTCCGCGCCTTCACCCCTCGGTGGCAACAATTACAAGCGACTTTCAGCTGTGTGCGGAAGCGCGAATAATGCGAGGCCGGCTAGTTTAGCGTTTTTAGGTGCGCGCGCGCGTGCACGCGTGCGGATGCAAAGGCGACCGGCTCGGCTCGGCTTCCACACACGCGCGTGCGTTGAATAGTTCGCGTTGAATAATTGCGAGTGCTAATGTGTACACTTTATCCGCGAAAACGCCGCCGGCCGACCTCGCGAGGCTCTCGATTTCCTTCGCGGTTCCCTTCCCGATTCTTCCTCGCCGGGAAAATTCTACGGGGAGACGAGAATCGGCAAACTTCTTTCGGTAAACTCCGATTTTTTAATGCGCGCGAGGACGCGTCGCCGTCGGCTCCGTATATAATATATCGGAGTACGAATTAATTCGAAGTAAAAAAACTTCTATTTTTACTTAGACTTGTTTACTCCTCGCTTCGGGAGATATGAAAAAAAGCGCGTATGTAGATAAAAGATAAATGAGATAGCTGCGACTCCGTTGGAGAGAATTTAAAACGTCACAGGGGATTGGAACTGAATGATGCTCGATTTCGTCAAGAAGATGAAGGATAAAATGGTAGAAAAAGAAAGAGATGGAGAGAGAGAGAGCAAGGGGAGGGGGAAAGATTGTGTATAAAAATTATGAAATTAAATTATGAAATTGTTTACTCAATCCGCGATGTTCGACGGTTTCGGCGTCGAAATGTCATCGTGATAAATCGTTTTGCATCGATTTCAAGAGGCCGCGACATTGCGGAAAGGAGTGGGTCAATGGACAAGACGATAAAATGCAATCGGAAAATTGACACGAGAGATTGAAGGAGCGCGGAGGAGAATCGCCGTGCCGCAACAGAGAAACGTCGTCCACAAATATATGCGCTCGTAAAAAAAAGAGCCTCACGCGTACACGCATACAGGCGCACGTGTGCGTCACGCGAGATTTTTTTTCAGCGATAAAGCGATTCGATCGCGTATGCATCACTACACGTTTGTATTTTTATAGATTCTTCTTACGTGTCTGCACTCTCGCGCCGGACTCGATCGTCGAATCCCGCACGCGCGATCGGCAGAAACGAAAATAATGGGAAAAACGCGTGCGGAACGTATTGTGCAGTTTAAAAGTTTATGGAGATTGCTGCCTCGATCGCAGGAAATATATCCCGTATTGCCCTAAATACTAAATAATATATATGTGTGTGTAATAAATAGATACATGTCCTACAAATTTTCATTCCCCCTTTTTTATTGCATCGGATAACACAACACAATGTGATAGGATCAGTCTTTTCAATATTAATTGTATATTTATACGATTGATTACACAGGGTGAATCAATGAAAATTTCCCTAGTTTTTTAACTGACTGATTTGTGCGAAGTATATGCCGAGATCTTCTCCACCAATCTCCATACAATAATAAAATCTCTGTATAAAATTGCTGCAGATATTTTGAAACATTCCTGGCACTATTGGTATATGTACATACATCTTGCGTGGAATCTGGTGTTGTGTTGTGGCCAGTTTTAATTTAGTGTCCCGAAAGAAAAAAATTTAATAGAAAAAATCGAATGACCTCATAATATAAATCATTCAATCGAATCTTCTTCAACAGTTAGGTAATGGATAAGTGTCGTGGAATAACGTCGGAAATGTTTCGCAATGTCCGTAACAACTTTGAACAGAGACTTCATTATTGTATGGAGGCTGATTGAAAGACATGTTCAAACGTTTATTAAAGTAAATTTTTTCGTAGATTGCGAATTATCAGTTTTTAAGATTTTTGATTGTGATATCCCGAAAAACATTCGTCCAAATTAAAAAAAAAACCAGACATGATTTTATATATAAAGAGAGTTAAAAGACTTACTATGTGATATGTCACTTGGCTTCTATTATTATATTTAAGATGATTTTGAAAGAGTGGCTAATAATCAAATTAATAAAGCAGCACGATTGAATTTATTACCAATATACATTTCTCTTAAAAGTAAAGTTGATGAATTTTTTGCACTATGTATATTTTACACAAATTAGTAAGAAAAAAAAGCAGGAAATTTTTGTTGGCTCATCTTGCACCTACATAAAATATTCAATAATATATTTGTACAAAATCATATAAATTGTATAGAGTTATGTTTATGTATATGAAATACAATTACATATATTTTATATACAATTATTAATTATAAATATACATGTGAAATATATTGCTGTATGATTTCGCTGAATCTTCGAGAACATTATTGATCTGTATATGCGGTAGGAATCACACAGGATGACGTAAATTTTCGTGAGGTTGCTCCGATAAAAATTGATTTCTTGCGTAACATATATAAAACAATTAACTCCTGTCGGAAAGCAATTCAGCAAAAATTTACGTCATCCCAAGATTCGATTGTGTAATCGGCGGGTATAGTGGAGATTTGGGATGAAAGAGTTAAAAAAAAAACACATTCTGAATCTCGCACGCGTACGACGTTGCCTTTTGGTACAGATGATAAAATACTCGATTAAATTCCGGAATATTAGAGCCCGATTAGCGTTTGATTAGAGATAACACGTCGGCTTTTCTTTGGTCGCGGGTTACAAGATTAGAGAACAAATATATAATGATACCGATTTAAATATAGAGGCGAGATAATTCTGATCGATCGACCGCGTCACGTGGAATCGTCTATTTATTTTCATTAAACTTATCTCGATCCTCGCAATTGATCTTACAAGTTATAACGATAAGAGGGGGGGAAGCCTGCGGCGTGGCCGCGGGGGGAAAAATTGTTTTGCTCGGCGTTTTTGTGCATCTCGCGTTTAAAGGCCGGCGTACAACGAACGGAGTCCCGCGATGAAGGCACTTTCGCAGCCAGCTTCGTCGACCTAACTGCGAATGCAACACGTCATATATACGTTCGACAGGGATATTGATATATTCGCGAAGTGGGAACAATTTTATATTCTCAAGTGACTAAGCCGATCAAGAATTCTCATTAATTGTTAATTTACGGCATCGTCATTCGTGTCGGTCAATAATAATTAACATGAGAATCGAAATACGCATCGCGGTGTGGCATATAAATTATAATGGCATGTTTATTTTATCATTGCAAAAAAGAATGTTTTCTTCAAACCGCGATGAGTGAGAGAGAGAGGGGGAGGGAGAGCAGGGGGAGTGGACGAGAGAAGAGGAAGAGTCGATCGGTAAGCGGCAAGGGGGAAAAGAGGGAGAAATAAATTTCTTCTCGAGTTATCGATATCAGCTGGAGGGCCCGAAATATCAGCGTGGCGCCACCTAGCGTCGACGCGTTTAACCCACGCGACAAACGTCGACGCGGCGACGCGGGCCGCCGCCGCTCCGCGTCGCTCCGTGCGTCACAATGCGCTTCAGCGCTTCCCCGCACCCCGCACGTCGTGACCGTGGTGTGTTGCGCGATCGTCGTCAGTCATCAGTGGTCAGTTTCCGTTCCTCTTGTGCTTGTGGATGGTTGTTCCGCACGTCGGTCCACATTGACGCAAGGTAAATCGCTAAACGGGAAGGAGCGAGGAGACGATTGCGTCCCTCGCATCCCTCGCGTTCAACTCCGCGCTAACTTCGCGTCGCTACCGCGACGGACTCGCAGCTGTGTGTGCGTGCGTGCGTGCGTGCGTACGTGAATGCGTAAGATCGCATCACCTTGTATCTCCGCGTTACCTTATCTGGTAAAACCAGGTGATACGCGCGATCCTCGCGAAGGAATCCGCGCTCATGCGCGTGCATGCTGCACGGGTGCCTGATTGCGCGTGTATGTATACGTGTGGATGTTCGTACGTGTGTCAGACGCGACCTGTAATAATTCGCGATCCAGTTAATGGGTCATGTTACATGTAAATAATGCGGATCGAGTGTCCTTCGCATTTTTTTTTTAGGAGAGATTCAAAATAGAGTAAAACGCTTGTTGTGATCCAAGTCGAAACGCTCTCGAGTTTTCTAAAGCGCGGAGTACCTCGCTGCCCCGCATGCCCCTGACAATACCGTTGAATAACACTCGACGTGTTTTTCGGTATAATTTTTGAAGCTCTTACCCAGCATAAACAGTCTCTTTTATGTCTCTTTCTGAATGTCATATTCTGTCTATCAGAAGATGGATCTGTGTAAACATTTTGTATAATCCTAACTTGCAACACAATTTAAAATTCATGTATGTTCATATATATTCCACACTTATTCTATATTTTATCATATATAGGATCTGCCTAATATTTCACTTTTTTTATGACAATTACACTCATAACAATCTCATTAAATGTTGTAAATAAGCCGAAATAGAACTGTTGCTTTTAGAAACAATTAAATTGAGAACTTATATGAATTATATAGGCTTTTGCCTATTGAGAAAATATAAAATAAGAGTGCTAGTTGTTTGAAGATTGAAAGCTAAGCGACTGCTGATAATTGTTCTTTGTCAATGATATTTGTCAATGATTTTTTAAGTTATAAGTATTTAAAAAATCTTTGTAATTTAATTGTTGTTTTAGGCAAATTGTTACTGGGAAATGGCAGCAGAAAGCAATGACCCCGAATCACGTTTATTACGATATCTGTATGTCGGAAAAGATTATCCCAATTACCAGCCTGGATATTGGTTTGCTCATCATTATTTTATAGTCAGGAATGTTATAGCCATAGAAGAACTTGCTGAAGATAAGGAGAAGGAATTGGTACCCATTGAACTGATCAAACAGGTAAATACTGGTATAAATTGCCTAATATATGTACAAAAGTATTTACCATAATCACCTATTCCTGTTACAGGCATTTGCGAGCAATTTGGTTACACATCCAGAGGCTTTGGTGTTTGCCCTCGCTGTTTGCTGCAGGCAAAATAAAAGCGAGAAATTACGTCAAGCAGCGTATGAAAGTGTGGGAGAGATCTGTGCATCTACCCCGGATTTTATTCTGTTCGTTAAATTCGTTTCTAAACTGTGCAGAGAGAAAGAGTTGAATTATATTACGCAAGGATGGGGCCACGGTATGAGGAAAGCTGTTAACAATTGGTACCTCTCTAAGCAACCAATGGATTTTATAAAGTGTGTCACGAAATATAGAAGCAGGTATGGCTGGAAACACAAGGATATTGTCAAAATGGCTCATCCTCAAGGCAATACTCGAGGTAAACATACGAAACCGTCAAGTTTATGAAGAAAGCACAAATCCATGTAAAATACTATTTAAACTTTATCGATCTCTTGTTTCTTTTTTTATATAAATCCAATCTTGTTTTTTTTGTACTTATATTCTTACATACAATTGATATTAGTGTAATTATAATTAGATTAAAGAATAATAATAATGGCTGAAAGTTGCTTAAAATTAGTAATGTAATAAAATAATAAAATTATATGATAATAAAGCTTATGTTTATATAACTTGTAAATTTAAACAGCTAAAGTAAATCACAATGGATTTGCGTTGTCATAATGAATGGTTAAAACTATTAATCAAGGGTAAAGATATCACTTAGGCAATTAATTATTTAATAGAAAGAGAAGTTATACTGAAGTATGTAATATATGGCTTGGAAAAGACCAAAACAGAAATGAAATCTGACAGCAGTGAGAATATTCAAGAGCTACTAAAATACATGGAACATGTTGAAAACTTCAAACATTGCGAAGATGAGTTAGAAGCTGCCAGTATGCTGGAAACAAATCATTTCTCTTTAGATCATGTACCTGGACATTTGCTAAAATCCAAAGAGGTATAATGCCGACACACGAGAGCATATTTTTTATTTTGCCATTAATTTATTAGAAACTGTAAGTTAATGTTGGTATAATTTAATATTACCAAAAATAATTTTTAACCAATTTTTAGAAATGACAAATAAAGTTGTATACTATATATTATAGTATATAAGATTATTTCTACAGAAATTAAATTTAATTATTAAGATACATAGTGTTAAACTTTCAGTGTTTCAAAGAATAAGATTGTTAAATTATCAGATTTTTAAATTTTTAAATAATATCACATAAGATTAAAAAGAGATTCGATATTTTTAGACACAACATAAACAAAGAAAATTTTGTTTATGATTGGCATAAAAAAATATATTTATGAGAAATTGATTTCAACGAATTGACATAACGTTCCATTATTTCATATGTAGGTTTGGACTGCATTGCTAATGTCAATGGATGTTGGTGTTCTTCTAAACAACCTGCAAAGGATTCACAATCTTGGGTGTCTTACTGCTGATAGTGCTGATCCTTCTGATCGTACTAAGATAGCAATCGAGGCAGTAACAAAACGACTTACTGATTCAGATTGCGTTGAGGCCAGTAAAGTTCATCCAGCATTAGTTTTTATTACCCTAAAAAATTATAAAAGTTCTGGAAAGTAAGTGCGCAACAGTATTCTGTGTGATTTAAATGATGAGTTAAGATTGTCATTGATAAATATGCATTTTCTAGAGCTTTGACCTACGAAAAACGAAAAGTTCGAATGTTAGCAGAAAGAAAGAAATCGCCGGAGTATGATCCAAATGTCGAAGTAATAAACGCTTTAAACGAGGCATTCCGTTTGTCATTTAAAGTAAGTCGATTTTTTTGAATATTTTCTTGTGAGTTATTAAGTGATTCAGTAGTTATGAATTTCAGTGATATTAATATAAATTGTTTTTTAAATTATTAATATAATAATATGGCTAAAAATAAGTATATTTGTATGTAGGTGAAATGATAAATAGCTTGATAACTACATATTAATTATCTGTTTTTTTTTAAATATGATTATTAGCTTTTATTAGTTCTTTCATTATTCAAGTTTTTTTATGATTAAAGCGAATTTAATTACATATATGTAATTTGGCAACTTATTGAAACATTTTATAATAGTATGAAAATCAATTAAACTAACGAGCATGTGTTGCTTTAAATAGATATTATTATCTAGCTTATTTGTCTTATTGCCATTATAATTATTTACAGAATATACAACCTACGAAATTTCGCTACTTAGTGACAATCAGTACAAACAAATCGATGGAAATACGCACTTGGCAGAACGGTAATATGACTGGCATCGAGACGGCTGCTTTGATTGCGCTGATACTTTTGCGTTCCGAGGAGAACGTTACCATAGCGACGTTTACGAACGACGGCGACGGAATTTCTCCAGTAAATGTCCGCAATACGGATTCTTTCGAACATATTTTGGCGACCTTAACGGCGAGCCCCATAGGAAGTACCAACACGAGTAAACCAATCTTGTGGGCCACAAACAAATCTAAGCCGTACGATGTTTTTATTAACATTATGGATCAAATATTCCCAAGGCACGATGAATCGCAGGAAAAACTGATAGCGTACAAAGAGCATATGAAACTTCCGGATACAAAGTAAGTGCGCAATTTTATTTATCACCTGAATTTCTTAAATTGAGAAAGCGAAACGAATTCATTGGAATTTGTTTCTCAATATTTTACAATTGAATTTACTAAGACATTTTTCTACACTTTTAATTTCCTTTAATATTCTCATCCATATAAAGAGACGGTATTTATTTAGAATATATCATCAATTACAAGTCACAATAAAGTATTAATAAATTTATTGTGCGTATTTAATATGTTTTTAGTAATAAAAAAATTATAAATGTAGTTTGCTGTAAAGCAGTTTTAGCAAATTTTTGTGAAATTATTTATATGATTATTATTACAATGTACATACTGTAGAATGTGCATCTTCTATAGAAACAAATTATGGATACTAACACAATCTTAACATTCTTTTAATGAAATTAAAATATATTAATATCTCAGACCTGAACCGTTATTCTATATTGAAATACAGATATCTACAGATTTCCATTATTTCATAATAAAAACACAGAATAATACTTATTCTAATTTTACAATATAATTTTGCAAATATAAAACTATGGTCTCTTTGCAGACTGATTACTTGCGCTTTATGCTCTTCCACACCATATTGTAAAGAGCCCTATGACCGACACGTCCTGACGATCAACGGTTTTGATGCTACCGTACCTAACGTCATTCAAGCGTTCGCCAAGGGTTTATTTTAGATACAAGCACGAGTTAAATTTCTATTGGTAAATAGCGTCAATTTGAAGATGATCACACATTGGTCGTTAATACAGTCACCTCAACATCTTTGTTATTGTATTTTGCAGGAGATTCTTCAAAACATGTTTCTTCAAGTCACAAGCGGTCAATCGAGAAAAAAAGTTATCCTCTTAAAGCATATTTCAATAAGACTATGTCTTTAAGGTCATCAAAATATCATCGAAAGAATCCATTTATTCACTATATAAACACTTGGCAGTTTTAGAAGCTGGTGGTGAGGATATAGGTTTTTCTTCAAAATCAAGTTTGACTAATAAGCATACTAACAAAAGAACGTGAGTGAAGACGGAGGAAAGTTACGGAGAGTTTTTAGAAATTATTTAAAACAGTGCCGAGAGAGAATTTTGAAATTTAAACTATCTCACCTTCTTCATCAGTTTCGAATGTCGGCTTGCTTGCACATCCATGACTGAATCAAATTATTTAATTTTGCTATCCGTTAATTTTTTTTTAAGATCCAATAGGGACATATATAATTTTTGAAACATACTGCAAATAGGTAAACGATGAAGGTGATTAAGAAAAGTGGTCGTGCACTATAATTGGCATGACGGTAATATTGATATCTACTACATGTTCGTAGTGTTAGGAAAGAGCTGTGTAGCATTTCCCTTTTTTTGTTAACAAAATGATCAGGTATTTTTTTACTCCTATTCGGATTTCTGACGATACGATTTAAATAACTCGGTATTTTATTTTTAACAAACGTTAATACAATATCGTATCGATCCGATTATATAAGCAATATATAGATTAATTACGGACTATTTTTTATTAAACTGTTGCACATGAAATCTCAGTTTTACGTTAATTTTTTATATATTCTATATTTAATAACAATTTCTCTTTTCTTTCTACGTTAATAATATACATTAATTTGTAAGTCTTAAAAAATATTTTGCATTGTTGTGTATTATATTTAAAACATGATTTGCTTAAAACTTTAAAAGCTGTCAGATGTTTTACTAGAGCTTTAAAGCAGTTTCAAAAGAGATTTTTTTTTATTTGATATATATTTATCATAGTACGCATCATAAGGTCGTTCTTATAAGCCAGTATTCTCAAACTCATGTGCTCACGCGGTCCGCATACGAGTCCTCGTTTCCCCATCTTCCGAAAAGCTATAAAACTTTTGTAGTTGCCTCTGCCTAAAAGCTCAGTGCGGTCTGCGGAGATCTAGTTAAGGCTCTGCCCCATAAACATTAATTAAAATTCTCTGTCTCTTCCTAGTTTTATAGAGATGCAGAGAATTGCTTAAATCTTAGGGGCAACTCTAACTTAAACTCTACTTAATTTTTTAACGTTTATGGGAACGACCCGCGATAGATCGTTACTTATTGTTAGTTTTCAAAATAGTTTTTGCGAAACTGTAAAACTTTGAAACTTTTTTTGAAAACCCGAAGTTTCATATGCAACTGTAAACAATCTTGTTTTGAAAACTATAGGAAAAAGAAGTACAATTCAATAGTCCTATGTTTCAGTAGTGCATTACGCAGCGAAAAATTAGGATAAGACTGTATAGTGGATACGGAAACACGTATCTCAAGTAACATACGGTGCATTTTTTGACTAATGGTAAAAAAAATCTTACTCTAATATTATTAATTGCTTGCTTGTTTCTGGTTGGCGGTGATGCTTCGTAATAATGCGTATAGATAACGTGACCTTATTAAAGAAAAAAAAAGTGACACGCTTCTGGGACCGGTGCGCTTCTGGACGGTTAAATAATAATCTAAAAATAAGTAAAAAAAAAAGACAAAAAAGAAAGAAGAAAGCGGAAGACGTAGAAGATGGTGAACATAGGAACGTTGAAAATTTTCCCACTGTGATATGCATTTAGCCCCAAAGAGTTATAGACTTACATTAGTATAATTTTACTGTTACTATCTCATATTTGCCATATCCAAAGTGAACGTGAGACAAATACTAAATACACTACTGAATAATACTGTGATACGAGATACATTGTTGTTGTTCAAACTAGGGAAATGATATTTAAGTGACGCGGCCAGAAGCGCACCGTGTTTGATATTTGTTGAGTCTCTGCGCGAATTAGCGCATGAATTTTTTGTTGAAAATTTTGTATCTCGAGGAAAAAAAGAGGGCTCTCGATCTGCCGATTATTGTTGTCGGGTTTTTCCCTCGTTTCTCGCATGAGACCACGGAAGCACGTACCTCTTTCACACACATATTGCTAAAAAGTACAGCGTGGATGAACTCTCAGGTCTTCGAAACAAATTTGAACTAAGTGCTTAACTATTCACCTGTTCTTTGCAGCTGTCCCCGATAATCTGCGGATCGAAAGCTGTCGGCGTAAATTCTATTTCAATAGAACAGTGTTCCGAAAAGGGTATATAAGTAGACTATTCTTTAGCAATCTGCATTTTGCTCCTGATGAAAATAAAGTCAGACTTTCGACGAATTAGGCAAGAATTATTGGAGAATTAGAAAAGAATTCAGCTTTATCTTAAGTCTCTTTTGTCAAGAGAGATTTGTTTAATAAATTATTAAGAGAATTAATTAGCGACGAGTTGAATTTCTTAAAAAAATAAAAAGTAAGGGAAATCGGTTCCATATTATTTATCAAAAGGCGTATGTATTTCAAGACACATTTGTATATAGCGATTAAAGCATATATTAATTTTCCATATAGAAATTTCAAGCAGAATTGCGCTTGCAACTCGGCAAACAAAATCTGTAATACGTATTATGCATAGATTTATTTTTAAGAGTGGTATTTTAAAAAAAAATCCACACGAATGTTTGTTAATCTCGGTTGCGCAGCGTCCCGCAGAGAGTTCTGTATAAATTATTTATCGGGAGTGAAGTCAGTATATATCTTCTACGCTGGACTATATTCCTACTCGAACTTCGTGTTTTGGCGAGCATTCGCGCGCTTAGAGAAATTATTTATACACACTTACTGCACATACACACACACACTCGTGTCTAAATCGTTCAGTGTTAGGAAGAAAAGAAATCTCTAGCGCATTTTTTTACGGGAAAAAACTTCTAGCGTGAAGGCAAAAACTTCTTTCAGAAACGAAATGTCTAGTTACTAAAACAAGAGTTTTAAGAGTATATATGCTACGATCATATATATAGTAGCTCAATGTATTCATTGGCATTAGCAAGTAGGCATTACAAGTATTTGTAATTATATGTACGGGAGCGATATTGCGAGCGGAGAGGATTCCCCGCACTTCGTCTAAGCTCTTTTTTACAGACGTTTACAAGAGTCGACCAATTTAATTCTAAAAATCTCAATCTCTGATAGCAATCTTATCATAGTACAAGCTCCGACCTCCACTTTAATCTCATAGCGTTGCGCGAAAATTATATTACTTATAATATATTAAATTTAGCTGTAATATCGAGTATAGAGTCAAGGGTCACGAGATTCGAGAAATAAATCTAAAATCGGAATCCTTTCCGCTCGCGGTGCACGCAGATATATGTGTATTCATTAATACTGCTATTATAAGAATATATACGTCCGAGATATGATATAGACTGGCACACTGGAGAGAGAAAACGGAAAAGAAAAGCAAAAAAAAAAAAAGAGAGAGAGAGAGAGAAAGCAGTACAGCCAGAATCTGAAGAGAATCACTTCTCCATGCTGTTATTTCACAGTCCATTGATTTCAGGATGTGCTGTATAGTTAAACAAGAAAAAAAGAAACAATATGTTGAATGTGTTCATGCTAGACGAAGAAAAAAAAGAAGAAAATATTTACCGCGTAAGGAGAGAGAGAAAGGAAAATAGGAAATTCCGCATTATGTAGTTATTAAAAAATGGGAAACAAAGGGATGTAACGGGAGACTCGAGGTACACCGTCGGGTACGTCGCGGCACCAAGTGCCACGGTCTCGGTCGCCGCTACATCCTTGCACTTCGCGATATCGAAGAGGGGGGACAAATTTAGCTTCCTTGCCGAAGACGATTCTCCGAGGTTCCGGACTGACCATTGATTTCGACCAGGAAGCACGAACGATATTTATCCGATACTCATAGTATTTTACGCGCCGCTGGACACGCATTACTGACTGTCTCGGAGCAAGTGTCGGTTGACCGCAAATCTGTATAGGACTAAGAACTGATGTAGAGGTACCACTCCGTTTTTATTAGCGGCATTTCAGTGTTAAGTTAAAAAAAAAGAAAGTGTTGCTCGCGATAATTGCTCGATTTGATTCCGCACGTGTTTCCGACAATCGGAAGTCACGTTTCGTCTCAATCGCCCCTATATGCCGGCGGATCTTTCCTTTTTCCGAGGAGAAACAATCGGGTACGCCGACGATTAGTCAACACCAAAGGACTTCCATTATTTTTTAAACGTTCTTTCACGCATTGTTTCTTCAGTCGTATGCAGACTTACGCTTGACTACGTATACATAAGTACGAGATAGCGCCATGGTTCCTTAGGATTATATACACGAGAAAAAAACTTATAATTCCATAATTAGTACATTGTCGCTTCAACGATCTAATAGGAAACTAGACAAAAAAGAAATGCTCAATGCCCGTTGTTCGAAGTTTTCGATGCAAATGCCAAAAATACAAAAAAAAAAATGAAGAGAAAAGAGAATCGAAGAACGGAACAATATTCAATTCTACATGTACAAACCGCAATGAAATACCTCGTTACTTATTCTCAGTGTAAAATAGCAAAAGCGAATTGTACTAACTCTGCGAGTTACGACGAAAAAAAAAGAAAGAAAAGAAAACAGAAAAATTGTCCTTCTGGTTCGTGATTCACACACTGAATGCCTATCTTTTGGCCTTATCTTTTTACATACGGAAAATAATCCTGTAAAAGAGATTCACAGGCAAAACAATATACCGTTCACTCACTGCTACCTGTTCGATGGTATTTTACGTTTCATACGTGGGCGTCTGAGGAAGGTCTTGAGATTTTTAAAAGATTCCCCGTTCAGCTCTCGATTTGTGCACACTGTTATCTCTCCTCAAAATTTCATGCCTTTATCGCAAGCGTTAGTCAAAAAAATTGGTGTCACACTACTTCTATGCATATTACAGTAAGGATCGAGTGAAAAAGCAGTTTCTTTGTTCCATTTAAATATTAAAATATTTACTATATACAGTATTCAATACCATATTGTGTTCAATAGTAATAGTAATAGTAATAGTTATCGGCTTTCCACGATCTCAGTCTTTTAATAATGAATGAGTGGTTCCACAATATACTCAAGTAATTTAAAATATCAATCAATTCACATATAATTTAAATTACATTCAATAATTTAAATTATATGTGAATTGATTGATATTTTAAATTACGTGAGTATATTGTGGAACCACTCATTCATATTAAAAGACTGAGATCGTAGAAAGCCGATAACTATTACTATTACTATTACTATTGAACACAATATGGTATTGAATACTGTATATAGTAAATATTTTAATATTTAAATGGAACAAAGAAACTGCTTTTTCACTCGATCCTTACTGTAATATGCATAGAAGTAGTGCGACACGAATACAAAGCGGTGGTAAAATTTAAACGGAATATCAAAGCAGTATAGTATTGCGATTGAGGATGATCGAGATTAAACACGCGTTTCTTCTTGCGCTGTGAAAGAGATCGGTGTGACAAGAGATAAATCTTTCGAAAGTCTCGAAGCTTATTCCTCTTCAGATTCCCTTACGCGCTAATCGTAGCGCCCGAAATTGAATAATGCGAATTAATTTCTCAGCGTTTTTTTCGGTTAAAGATAGTATTATTACTACGTAGACTACATTCGTAAAGCGATATATTACTCGGTAATTTATGGTACATCGGAATCTGCGGAAACCGAAGTAAAAAGAACTGTACAAGCTGCGTGGGAGAAGTTTCGAAACCAGATCATGAATCGAAACTTTTTAAAAAATTATCTGTTGTTTGCCATTCTTAATTCCTAACGTCGGAAAATTAAGAGATTTTTGCTTTAAATTTTATAAGAATCAATCTCCTTGAAATCTTTCGTAGCATCTTGTGTTTTCAGAACAGAAATAAAAATACATAACGAAGATGTGACTCTAAACGTGTCACAATGATTATCTTCGATAATTAATTAAATATATATCAGTAAATCGTATTTATTGAAAACTAAGAATATTTTGCTTTTTTGTCCTCGCAGGGTGAAATAATTAGATTATTATATAATTATTCTTCAATATATCGGGTTCTTGAAAGACAAAGAGATAAAAGTAGCCTAAGCAACAGTCCTTTTGAAGTTTTATTTCGAGATCGCGAAACTTTTCCAACGTAGCCTACGAATTTCCCATCCTAATCACGTACACGCGCGGTAAACATCTGTCGCGCGATTTCGATATTATTTTTATACCTAAGTAAATTTGTGAAACATTGCGTAAGTCCAGCGATTAAATTGCTCTGAACAAATTAACGTCGGAGTTTCACAAAGGAGCGAATTATGTTATTGTCATCGTGTCTGTTAACGGTTGTATTTCGGTACACAATAGGCGAATTAAGATATTATAGGGAATTGATTATGTCTACAAATTCCGTGCTGTTTTTGTTACGATATGAACTGGATCCTTAAATAAATTTTCTCAAAACGATCTCCCGCTGTAATTATGTCGACGGATTAGAAGATAATTAGAATATATAAATTTTCAACTGGAATCTTCTTATTTAACAGAAATTTGATTTGATCTGAACACTTGGTTTATTTTAGAAAAAACTGTAAACGTCTACGTGGCCAAGCGATACCAGATTCTAAAGAAACGTATTTTGAAAGTTTTTAAGACGTTACTTCTTCAAACATTTGTGTTATCTTGTTATCTATTTGTGTATTGAGTCTCAGGATCTGTAGGTAGATCTTGGGATGCGAAATGTCCCATAATATATATGCCGACAGAAGTTACAGTTTACTGAAAAAATCTTTATTCTTGCATTACTGATACACATGTTGCACACTCACACGGCTACATTGTACATAGTACGATGCAACTCGCTGGCAGTATACGAGTTACAAGCCCGCGCGTCTTCACAAATTTCATTCACTCTCTCGTTCAGTCGTATATACGCATACTCACGAATTACATCTTTAACGCGCTTTGCTCCACGATTAACCGATCGTTCGATTATTACACTTAGTGGAGAAACATATAAAACAATTCGAAATAAATTAACGACGTAGTGGAGTTCAGTATGCTTATTTCGCGGGGGAAAGAAACGAGCGCAGCGTCGAAAATGCTAATAATATTGGAAAGTCGTTAAAATTGTGGAAAGAATCAAGATTTTCATCGATTTCAATTCTTTCAAAATTTGACGACTTTTCGATATTGTTAGCATACTCTCACATTTTTCTTAAAATGTACGTGAGACTTATGACGAAGACTTCTATTCCCACTGCACATTTAGCTTCAAACGCCCTCCTTAAACCTAAGTCTTAAAGTTATAGATAGTGTATACTACATATTATCTAAGTAAAACTTAGAACCAGACAGCCACTTTCAGCTAAACGTACGGCGAGAACATGATCTCGCGTGTGTACCGCGCTCAGCCTCTCGTGTATATCAAACACTTCTGTAAAGTGTTTGCTCGGAAGGCGAGTAATCAGTCTAAACCGCGAACCGAGGTGAGCGGGTCGCGAATTTGCAGTTAAAGTTCGTCCCTCATATCCTCTTCCTCGCCACCAGTGGGTGGGACACCGCCGCCCGCGCCTTGATAGAGCTTGGCGATGATCGGCTGAACGATATCGGTGAGTTCTTTCTTCTGCTTCTTGTATTCTTCTGGCTCGGTATCCTGATTGTCCTCCAACCACTTGATCTTCTCCTCGATAGCCTCCTCCATCGTAGCCTTGTCCGCGTCGCTCACCTTTGAGCCGAGTTTCTCCTTGTCAGCCAATTGGTTCTTGAGCGAGTACGCGTACGATTCGAGATCATTGCGCGCCTCTACGCGCTCCTTCAGTTTCTTATCGTCGTCGGCGAACTTCTCTGCGTCCTTGATCATCCGCTCGATGTCATCGGGCGTCAAACGATTCTGGTCGTTTGTGATGACGATCTTCTCGCGATTGCCAGTGCCCTTGTCCTCGGCCGATACTTGTAGAATACCGTTGGCGTCGATTTCAAAGGTGACCTCAATTTGTGGTATGCCACGTGGCGCCGGTGGGATGCCAGTCAGATCGAACTTGCCAAGCAGATGGTTGTCCTTGGTCATGGGACGCTCACCCTCGTATACCTGAATCGTGACAGTGTGTTGGCTGTCAGATGCCGTGGAGAAGATCTGAGATTTCTTCGTGGGAATGACTGTGTTCCTACGGAAATAAAGAATATCGTTTTACTGCAAGAACTCTTGATTCAACTCTAGTCGATAATCTAAATATTTACAGATTTAATGATAATCTTAAAGATGTGTTTTTCGTATTTACCTTGGAATGAGTTTGGTCATCACACCTCCAACAGTTTCAATACCCATGGTAAGAGGATTAACATCGAGAAGTACGATAGCATCCGTATCTTGTTCTCCAGAAAGTACACCAGCTTGTACAGCGGCACCATAAGCGACGGCTTCGTCAGGATTGATGCCTCGCGATGGTTCCTTGCCACCGAAGAATTCCTTAACCAATTGTTGAACTTTCGGGATCCTAGTCGAGCCACCAACTAAAACAATTTCGTCCACATCTTTCTTGCTCATGTCGGAATCTTCCAACACCTTTTGCACAGGCTTCAAAGTACTACGGAAGAGATCCATGTTCAGCTCCTCGAATTTGGCACGAGTCAAGGTCTCAGAGAAGTCCTCACCCTCAAAGAACGATTCAATTTCGATCCTGACCTGTAATACACAAAAGAAATAGATTAGACTGATAAAAAATAAAAATAGTAAGAAAATATTTTAAAGACGAGAATAGAAAAATTGTAGATAAAATATTTAAATATAAAAAAAAATGTGTACACACCTGGTGGCTGGCACTGAGTGCTCGTTTAGCCTTTTCGACTTCACGACGCAGCTTCTGCACAGCTCGGTTGTCCTTACGGATATCCTTGCCCTTCTTCTTCTTATACAGTTTGATGAAGTGATCCATCACACGCTGATCGAAATCTTCACCTCCCAAATGGGTGTCGCCATTAGTAGCAACGACTTCGAATACACCGTTGTCGATAGTGAGCAAACTGACGTCAAAAGTGCCGCCGCCCAGGTCAAACACCAATACATTTTTCTCGCCGTCTTTCTTATCCAAACCATACGCGATCGCAGCGGCAGTTGGCTCATTAATAATCCTCATTACGACCAGGCCAGAAATTGTTCCAGCGTCTTTGGTGGCCTGTGTAAATAAATAAGAAATTATTTTGAGGATACAAAGTTAATTTATATATAGAATTAATTTACAACACGATTTCTTCAACAGAATATGCCGAAAGATTCGAACAGAATATTAATTTGAGATTTATTGATTAATACTCATGATACTTTTCAACTTGGAGCATACGATCTTTTTGGGAGTTCAAAGACAAAACTAAAGCGTCGAAGTTATCATAGACCTCACCTGTCTTTGTGCGTCATTGAAGTAAGCCGGCACAGTAACTACCGCATGAGTGACTTTCTTGCCAAGATAAGCCTCAGCAGTCTCCTTCATCTTGCCCAATACCATAGCCGAGATCTCCTCGGGCGCAAAGACCTTTTCACCCTGGCTCGTGTCGACCTTGATATGCGGCTTATTGTTCTTCTCAATGACCGGGAATGGGAAGAATTTCACATCGTGCTGCACAGTGGGGTCCGACCACTCGCGACCGATCAATCGCTTGGCGTCGAACACAGTGTTCTCGGGATTTGTCGTCAGTTGATTCTTGGCGGCGTCGCCGATCAAACGCTCGCCGTCGCTGGTGAACGCCACGTAGGAAGGTGTGATTCGGTTACCCTGATCGTTGGCGATGATCTCTACGCGACCGTTCTTATAAACTCCAACACTGAAAAAACACGTAACATTTTACTAATTTGCCCACCAAAAAAAAAGATAATGAATTATTTTCTCTCGATAAATTATTCTTAATAACGCATCATTGTGACAATGTATACTCACCAAGAGTATGTTGTACCCAAATCGATTCCTATCACTGTACCAATATCTTCCTTTTCTTTGTCCTCTTTGGCGAGCGTGGCGACTGACAGCAGTGACAGCAGTCCCACTATCAGTAGAGCTTTGACTCCTCCCTTCATGTTGCGTACGCTTTGTATAAACTATACCTGAAGTATCAATAATCATAGGGTTAACACGTCAGTAAGATCTGAATTTTTCTTCATGAAAAACAAAGTTTATAAATTTTATTTATGAATGTAATGTCATTTAAATATCATATCTATCTTTAAATATCAATTATTAATTATTATAAGCAGTATACCAAATTAGTCAACCATAAATTTTAATATACATCTATAATTTCTTATATAACAATCCTTGATCCACCTAATTTGTATATTAGAATAAAAATTAATGTTAAAAATAAATTTTGGAGTAAACTAGGCTTGCAAAGTATCTCTATATGTCTTACATTTTTTTTTACATTACATATCATTACAATCAGATAATAATGTATCACATATAAAAATGTCTTCAGGTATCAGATCTGTATCCCTATCTCTGCTAAAAGAACAACTCCCTGGTTTTAGTGAAATCTATTCTGGAGCATTCCATTCAACAAATTAAAAAAAAAAAAGCTATCAGTAGGGTTCACGAGCCGGATGAGTTTTCGGCTCGATGAGCGAAGTCACACGTCATCCTTTCGAAGAGAGATCATTCTAGAAATTCGACGCGTCACGGAGACGCGATATCGATCAATTGCCCGTCCGTTAAATTACCGCGACTATTGACAATTTAACGAACACGTCTTTCACAATCACTCAAGAACGTGATAAGAGTTTCTACGATCGGAGATTCGTAGCGAGCGAGTCCAACGTGGCAGAAGACTCTCTCGCAGCGGTCTCCAAACGTAAGTACTAAGAAAAAAAAAAGAAGGAAAATACCGTGTCGCCCGTTGGCAAACAGGACGCGGACAAAAGGCGAAAATAACGAAAAGAGAGACCGTCGTTGATCGTCGATCGTAAAAGTGACGACTCCTTGACAGCGGGACGACGTGGAACGCCCGAGATTCCCCCGGGGGAGAACGGGAAATTCTTTCTCTCCGAGGAGACGATCGAATTCCGGTGCGCGACGTCGGCGTCGGTGCGCGGCGGCTGACTCCGACGGAGCGGAGTGCGTCTCGACGAATAACGAGTACAATTTAAAGAAAACGTGGCCCGGCTCACCGGGCACCCGGAACAGAGGTTGACTCACCAGCTGGATACGTAGTCGGCTCGCTGAACGTTTTCTCCGCGCTCCTCGGCAATCAGAGTCTCTCGCGTTATTCTCAGTGAACGGTAAAACGACGACTGACATCGGCACCGGGCTCGGGGCCGGGATATTAACGGGAGTGTTACTTCGTGGCCAACGCCGATTGGCGGACAACGCACGGCCACGGGGGAAAATCGTTGGCCACGATTCGTAGCCGCGTATACAGTTGGCCGCGCCTCATTGGTCCACGTTACGGCTGTTTACTTCCAGAACCTTCGCGAGCCGTCGCGATTCGTGGCCGGCCGATTAGATACCGCGGGTGGAACACGTGGAACGCGCCGTACCGAGCGAGCACACCGTGGCCACCGTGTGCCACACCGTGCGACGCGCCAGGGACGGATTTCGCGACGAACGTCGCGCCCGCGACATTCTTGTCAATGATGTATCGATAGCCTTTTTTGCATCACGAATAGTTGCGAATAGTATCGCGTATCGCGTCAACCTCGGTGTCGACTGCCGTCGCATCCCGGTGAAAATCCCGAGAAAGATTGCTATTAAAAATTGAAAGATTGATATTTTTAACAGCGTTTTTGCTGCAGATTCAAAAATTGACGAACTCGGAGCCTTGATAGCTCGAAGTGATAATTTTTTTTAGTGACGAGTGACAAGCACACTGTTTATCGCAGCTTATCTTATACACGTGTATGTATATTTTGTATGAAAGCGCGTATTATATTTTATTAGTTTCAAATTATTTATTCATCGATTAATCTGTAAAAAAAGTGCAGTCGTGCTTCTGCTCTGACAAATGTATAAACTAATATAAAGTATAAAAATCTTATTCCTTTGAACGTTTTCTTCAACGAAAAAAAGACGAATATTTTTGATGAAACTATCGTTTAATGTACATCTCAATAAATAAAAACTACAATAATTTGAAAAAGTAGAAAACTACGTATTAAATGAGTAAAATAAATGTATCAGCTCCTTTTTTAGTCACGCGAAGAAAGGCATTCGGATTCAACAAGAACAACTGAATCAACAGTAGATGCAAAACCGTGCTTTATAAATTGCATCACTTCTGCAGGGATGTGAAAAATCGCCGCGAACCCCGTGCAAAGACTGTAACAGAACTGTGTACATATTTACTCTTTACATATTATTATCTGTTTCGTTGATATTCACCTCAGCAGTACAAAATAAATCAGTGTTATAGAAAATATAAAAAAGATATAAAAATTGCAGCATTCGAAGATCTTTATACAGCTAATTATGATATAATTTTTGCAAAATTATGTTCAGATGTAATTATAGGAAGAATATTTAATAAATACTTTCAATAAATTAGGAAAAAAGATATTTTATTTATTTGGAGAAAATGTTTTCTAAAATATAAGACTGAACACATTATAATCGGAACACTGCAATATTTCAGTCCAAACTTCTCTATTTTTTTTTTATTTTTATACGAAGATTATAAATGCTAGAATATAGATTGAAACATTTGAAAATAACATTAAACATATATTCAGTGTCTAGTATCATTAAAAAATGATCATATAAAGTACTTATATTGAACATACATTCTTCAAAAATATTCTAATATATAACTAGATAGTTTTTTAACAAAATTGTAAACTTTTTTTATTTATACAAACATATACAATACGCAAATAATAATGTGGTACTAAAATTTCAATATTGAATAAAATAACAGTTTTCATTACTTCCCACCTTAACAATAAAAAAAGAAAAATGTAACCATAAGATATTTATAAAAATATATATAATTCTAAGTAATCATACGAATTCTTAATATTGTCTTATTGGATCTTTTATCTATTGGTACATATTGATAGTTTTTATCTATTCATCTACTGATATACGCCATATACCTATATATGTATACCTTCCAGTTACAATATCTCTAAATAATAAGAATTTTTACAAAATTACAGAAGTTTTGTATAACGTTATATGGATGAAAAACGAACAATGACGGATGGAACATGTTACTTCGTTCCGATCTGGGTTTGCACGCACCCGTGGCACCGTTTAGTCTAACGGTATCTCAGGTAGTGAATTAAATGGAACGCCTCTGTTACGCACCGCGCTACGGTATTATTTCATTGGTATTCCTACATAGAGACAAGTCTACGTGTGAATGATGAAACGTGACATCATCGTTGCATCCAAATCTTTGAATAATTAACAAAATTTGTAAAATTTATACTTAATCCATTAAGTGCGTACTTACATTAATTTCTTAAAACTTATTCTACATTCTTTTCTATAATTTAATAGTCAATTGATACTATAATAATTAGCTTAGAATTTTATGATTCAACGATCGCATAAAATTGTAATGTGCATTAGTTTTTTTGTACTGTTTTTTCTTCACGCTTAAAAGAAATAACTTGTCCACGTGATAGATTAAAATCCGAAAGAATAGAAAATAACTTGAAATGAATTATTGCTTAAGTATTCATAACAAAGGAAATCGAAAGTGACTTGAAGTAGATAATACTTACATACTAACGATAGATTAAAACATTAAAACAGGGTAGAGGGCAAAAGTGACTTTAAGTGATTCAACGCTTATTAAGTACTTATGTATGTAAATCAACAAACTGTATATTAATTAATATCTAATGAATGTAGAATTCAACCATCTGTACTAAATATAATAATATATAATTGAATTTAATTTACCATTCACCAGATAAATTAACCAAGGATCAATCTATTAGAAATATTTATATTACCAAAAGGTTTACTTTGTAATACGGTTTAAATTCGCAAATTCTGATTTATAATAATCTTCTAATATCGGGATTAGAATAATCAACTCTCATGGTTGTAAATGTTGGTGTAGTAAGAAATTTTGGGAATGATCTCTTTATCTCCATGATTGTGTCCAATATTGCCCTTTGGCCTTGTTCTAGTGCTGAGAGCTGTCCGATTATGTCGTCTAATTTATTATTAATCTCTGAATATTCGGATAGAATCTGAGTATATTGATATCATGACCTGCAGGTAGATGTGTGCCCTGAGGTTGTTTGATTTCTATTTTATGTAATGGTGTAATAACACTTGGTCCAGATATTGGATGGTCATTATCATCATCATCAGAACCATAATATTGTAATGTTTGGGTTTTGTTATCAGTCATTTTGAAATGTGTTAAAGACTTGGTACATTTGATCAATAATGCTGCTTTGTTATTACATATAGTACATAGGCCTGTAAAATTAAAGTGGTGTTGATATAGAAGATGTAAAACTACAAGAATCAATAAAAAGTACTTAAAAATAAAACTAAGTAATATAAAATATAGGTGTCTATGATAAAATAATACTTAACCATGGAAGTATTTATATTTTTAATACGATTTAAAAAAAAATTTATATATATTGATTTCTCAAATAGGTTTACTATATATTCAAATAAATACTATTTGAATATATAGTGAACGACCGTAACATAATTTGAATCATAAAATCAAGACAACTAATGAGTGAGATTAATTCCGAAAGACAGACACAAACCGAGATTGAACTAGACTGATTCTAGAGATTGACTAAAGAAAGCAGACTGATTGCGAGAAATAGATGAAAGACAGACCATGTCCAAATATAAAATAAATTATTACATACATATTCTACGTATATGTCAATTGAATAATCTACAATTTGTTTTCTTATCTTGTACTAATTTCTAATTATAACTTGCTTTTCGGTTGCAACCAATCTAAGATTAATGGCGTAAAGTACGTTATAATACAATCAGCACCCGCTCTTCTCATAGAGAGTAATATCTCATTGAGTACATTCTCTAAGTTGATCGCGCCATTCTGTGCACCGTGATACAACATAGCGTACTCTCCCGACACTTGATACACAAATATAGGATATTCTGGATGCGCATCCTTCGTATGTCGCACCACGTCCAAATAAGGCAATCCCGGCTTCACCATTAGCATATCCGCTCCCTCAGCCACATCTCTTGCCTTTGGAAAAATAAATATTCTATATATCACACATATGCATATAAATTGAAGAATACCAATTCTGTTTTCATAATGCAGAACGCAAGACAGAATAAGATCCATCAATACAATTTGAATATGGTTTTAAAGGATGAAATATTATGTCTATAAACTCTCACTCAATATCCTTCAATGATTACGGAAATATTATAATTATATAAATGCTATAATAAAGAAAAAAAATTAATAATGGGATGAAACTTACAGCAGCCCTGGCTGCTAGTCCGTTACTACCAGGAGGCAACTGATAGCATTTGCGATCGCCGAACTTTGGTGCAGACTGCGACGCGTCCCGGAAAGGCCCGTAAAGTCCTGATGCAAACTTTACAGCGTATGACAAGACCGCTACTTTATTTGAAAATCCAGCAACAGCTAAACCATGCTTTATCGCACTTATCCTACCGTCCATCATGTCAGATGGTGCAACAATTTGGGCGCCTGTAATGAATCACAAACGTTCATGAAACAAAGATTACATAATTGTACCTTAAGAACAAATTTCAGAAATGTATAATCTCATACCAGCTTTTGCATACGATACAGCAACGTCAGCGATCCGTTGGATACTGCTTGCGTTATTTATGCTACCATCATTGTTGAGAATACCACAGTGTCCGTGATTCGTATATGCGCATAAGCAAACATCACATGCTATTACTAAATTAGGGAATTTTTCTCGCAACAATGGTACAGCTTGAACAACAGGATTCCTTGTACTATCGGCGTTGCTTCCAATCTCATCCTAAAATCAAAAGCTGATCAATATTTATAATATATAGAATATATGTATAGAATTTACAATTATAGAACATATATAATTGTAATGGATTTTAATATTTATAATTCTTCTATTATAAATATTGTATTATTACAAAATCTCTCCTAATTAAATATTTTATAACATTCAATTAAAGTTATAATAAAATATTGAATTTTATACCAATTAAAGAAGTTTTATAATATACATTGTAGTTTCAGAAAGATTACATTATTGTGTTTTATGAATATTACCTTCTCAAGATGTTGCGATACGCCGAATAATAAAACAGACTGCAAACCTTTTGCAACCAGTGGTTGCAACATCTTTTCTAACTGATTAATCCCATAGCGATATACACCAGGCATGCTGTTAATTGGATCTTTAGCATTTTCTTCGTCCCTACAACCACCCATGTAAAAGTTTAATTGTACAACAAGCATAAATATATAATTGACTTAATAAATCTATGTATTTACAAATATACATAACTTGTTGATCTATGAATATTTAATAAAAACACATATATGTTTGTATATATCATCGTGATCAAATACTTACGAAACAAATATTGGATACATAAGATTATTAACAGTGATCTCAATGTTCGGTGACTGCCACTCTCGTAGGACAGGATGAAAAATTCCGCTATGAAGAGTGTGCTTAGCTGGAACTGCCGTCATTGTGCTCCAATTTCTCATCTGCTCTTAATATGTATTCACAGTAACTCTTCTTACTGAGGTACACAATTCACTTGACTTTATCAACCTGATATCTAAACAACCAATTGAACATATACATGTTATTCCAAGTAAATGACATAAACATAAACTGATTAAAAGCCAGTGTAAATGTATTGGTACATCAATTACATAAATAAGACGGTTACAAAGGACAAAAATTCCTTCACCATGTATTAGATATCTCTTTAAATCTGACAAATAATTGAGAACGTACGTGATTCTTCGTAACGATGCAATTAACTCGGGATACTGTCAATAGATTCACAAACGGAGTTGACCATTCGCGAAATTAATGCATGATGAACGTGACACACCAAAAATGTGACTTCGTGCCGCGCAAATGTGACGTAACAGGTTACAGGGTTAACATGCAAACATATCCTTCGTTCACAACAATAATTCTTATCGAAGTAAATGTGCCGAGGGTTAACGAAAATAATTAATTGTTACTCGAAAATAATTATTTTTATAACTGAGAGCGGCGGAGTTTGAAATTTTCCACGAGTTTCAAGTTTTAAGCCAGTATCACATCACGAAAATTGAGACAATCGGAAATCTCACCAATCAAAACGCAAGAATTATTTGTCCCCTTCGTTCTCTCGTCCCGTTTCGATGCCACTCCATTTTCCAATTTGATACGTGGCTTAAAAAAAAGCCACGAGAGCAACGCGGCGCATGGCGCATGGCGCATGCCTCGACCTAACCCCAACCCGACCTAGCGTAACCTAACCTAGCCTAGACGACGTCGGGAGACTCGGGGACCAGACGTGGTGATTTTTTACGGTCGCCTTTATGTCGAAGACGCGTGATACTCCGTGAAGGGTAGCGGCGTCGGAACAGCTGTCCACACCGTCGATCGTCCTCGGTCACCTGCTGCCATTCACGTAGTTCCCGCGAGGTCTTCCGAGCGCGCGGCTAGGGGTGAGATCGGGTCGCGATGACGGACGCGTCGAATTTACCGGGCGCCTCCACGGGGCAGAGGGCGATGTCGAGGATGCTGCGGCAGCGGGCCCAGGAGTTCCTCGCCTCGCGGAAGCACGCGAACAACCTGGTGGAGATAATCGGTTACTGGGACGTGAGTAGAGACACCTTTGCACACCTGTCTGCATGTTTCCTTGGAGTTAGAATTTAAGAACTCAAAGAAGTTCGTTTTCATCCGTAGGAATCCACCTGTTCGTGCCTGCTGACGATAGAGACGATGTTCGTGGAGGTGCTGAGACGCGGCGATATGTACACGGAACGTACGATAGCCCTTACAATTTCGGGTAAGATTGGACAGTGCCTGCTAGCTTGACAGATTTCTTACGTTGTTGATGTATGAAGACATGGGGACAAGAACAGTATTAAGTTCTAATGTACTAACAATTTGTGTTAGTGTGATTAAATTGATTATTAATTTAATTACGTGATGGTACTGTTCTAGCTTTAGTTAAGACTAGGTTTCAAGTCTGAAAGTAATGGTTCGTGATTTGCTAGGGTGATTAATTCTACATAAAATTCACACGAATAATATTAGGCTACCAAGATTCAGTCTTGATTGTAAATGGCTTTTTCTCTAAATTGATAGTATTGTTCCTCTGAAGTTCCAGCTGAATTTCTTGCATTTTTTTTCTCCTTGATGCCTAATTACACGTATCTCTCTCTCTCTTTTATCTTAAGAAAGTATAATATATGCAGCAAAGAACAAACTTATTATTGAGCACCATTTATGTTATACTAAAAAGATTTCTACAGATTGTATATTATATCTAAAGATTTGTATTTTAATATCATGCACGAAATAGAACCTAACCCAGAATCTCGCTATACCACCTGGCTGAGAAATTGCTACGAAGACGTCTGGAAGAAGATACTAGCATCTATGGAGAAGAATCGGTCGACTATTCAACTGCAAGCCCTTACCACTGCGATGAAGCTGATGGCGGAAGAGGGTAAAGCGCCAATGGAGCCGCACGATAATCCAGGATATCACTTTCCTCTACATCGTTTAAAGCTTATCCTCATGACTCTACTCTCTCCCGAAAAGGATAATACTAATTTAATATCGAGATTCCAAGAGATCACCGGATACCCTGACGTTTTATATTATACGTGGAGATGCCTGCCCTCTCTTACACCGAAAAAGCCACCGAATGAAGTTTATACTAAGAATCTTTTGGAACTTATAGATAAAATACCACTGCCAAGAGAAGAAAAAGGTATGTCCTTTTTTTGGAAATTTAAACTGCTTTTGAACTGTTATATAAAATTATTATGCAATGTCGCAAACTGTAGACATATAAAGCGATTAGTTAACTACTCTGAACTATTATATAAAATAATCCGTCGCAATTATATGCTTCTTATATGATTGTATTTATTTAACGATTCACTTATGCAATGTCGCAAACTGTAGACATACAAGGTGATTAGTTAACTACTTATCGCTGCTAATAAGTTTCCGGATATTCTAATGCTCAACTTCCTGGTCTCTTTAATTCTTAATTTAATAGATGCTTAGATTCTTATTCTGTTTACAAATGGTAAATACAATTCCAAATTTTTTTTGTTGTATATTTCAGCATCTGAAATGTCGGACAATAGAGAACTTTTGTGTGGACCGCAACAAGGTAATAATACAATCTACATTATCGCCGTTCACATTTTTACATTTTTATTAACGTATCTTAAATTTTTTGACAAGATGCTGCATTTACATGGGATCAATCAAACGTTAAACGCGCCCTAAACAAGGTCTGGGCTTGCATTATGCACTGGGACGTGCAGTCCAGACTAACGCCGCAGTTACACAAACAGCTGCTGATAGTTTTGTTGGAACGAGTCATGCCGCATTTAGAAAAACCAGTACTGTTAACCAATTTTTTGATGGACTCCCTGGACGCGGACGGTCCTATCGGTGTACTCGCGCTGCAAGGCGTATTCATACTCGTCACCAAACACAATTTAGAATATCCAAACATTTTCACCAAACTGTATTCGATGTTCGAGCCTGAGATCTTTCACACGAAATACAAGGCTCGTCTATTCTACCTGTCCGATCTGTTTCTCAGCTCGACGTAAGTATATTACACTTTCGATAGAATCGTATATATCTCTAGTGTGTTGTGGAAGTTATAGAAGTCAAGAATAAAACGAAGAATCATATTTGCTATTACGTAAAATTATTTGAAAACTCGATTCCTCTTTTCAGACATCTACCGGAAGCATTAGTAGCGGCGTTCGCGAAGCGACTTGCGCGTCTAACATTGGTCGTGCCACCGGAGGACATCCTAATAATCCTGCTTTTCGTGGGCAACCTGTTGCTTCGACATCCAGGGCTGAAGAGGCTGATAGATCACCCGCAAGGCGGCGAGGTCCCCTCGAACGCGAGTACTGGAGCGGGCGATCCATTTCTCATGGAAGAGCGCGATCCATTGCTGAGCAACGCATTGTTAAGCAGCCTCTGGGAAATCCGGGCATTGCAGTGGCATATTCTACCGAGTATTGCAACCGCTGCGCGTTTTATTCACGAGCCGCTGCCTTCGATTGAATATGACATGGCATCGGCATTAGAACGTACTGGTGGCCATCTTTTCGAGAGCGAACTGAAGAACAAAGTCAAAGACATCATGCTGACGTTTGAGAGACCAAACTCTATGGCGCTGCCAAAGGGAGAGAAATTGTTGCAATATTGGCAGCTCACGCATTGATCCTGTATGCGGCGTGATCACGACGCCGAGAGTGCAATACATCGTGAAAAAAGGGCCGTCATTGTCGATGTCATCGACGAGATTATGAGCCGAGGATGACACTCGTGTTTCAGGTGAAGAATAAAGACTTTTTGTGTTTTATATGGCATATCTATACGACGAGGAAAACGATACAGCGTAATTTTTCTGTGGCGTTGAGCATATACGTTTAAAATATTTAAATAAATTTGTGTATAATCTTATCGATCGCGATACGGAACAAGAAAAAACTGCATATTTGCTTTTTACTGTTTATATCAGTTACTGTTTATGTCAGTATGTAAATTGATAGCTTATGTATCTTACGCATAAATTATGTGCAAGTGCGTAACGCTGACTCTTATTTAACTCTTTCGCTGCTCTTTATCATTTCGTTATGAATTATCATTGTGCGGTAAGTTTCTTTGAACTTTGCTTAAATAGAATAAGAATTCATGGCAGTTTAACATATCATTTTCTATATCTTGCACATGTGTAAAAAAGAAAACACAAATATAAGTCTGTGATTGCAGTTGATTAATTTTTCTTTCTCGACTTAAAAACATTTTATTTCAGTATCAATAGACAATTTACAAAAAAAAAATGTAATTATTTGTGTTTATTTTTATAGTTAACAAAAGATAACTGTAATCTGTATGTACATAAACGAAAAATCTCGTATCATTTTTCATTGTGTAATACGTGCAACTCAGCTTATTTTATTTTTGGGATCAAAAATTTGAGTTATAAAAATAACATTTATATATATCTGTAAATATATTCTATATATTGTAGATCTATATATACTTGCAAATATACAAGGTGTTTTAAAAGGTTACTGCCAAACTTAAGGAGCGTAGAGAGGTCAAAATAAAACAAATTTTTATTAAGGTTTTGTTAAGAATTACGTGAGATATATGGGATATTTGAGAGAGTGCAGAGTTCTGTCTGACGATACAATGCTTGCATTGAACGTGGAACGTCGCCAATTCGAACATCTTTTGTAAATTCAGTTTGCAAGCTAATGTAATCCTTAACAAACCTTAATAAAAACCTTAAAACACAAAATAAAGCTAGTGGAAGAGTAGCAAATTACGATTATTTTGGTATATTGGTATATTATCCAAGTTCCATACATTTAAAGGCCTGATTCGGGATTGCTTCGGAGAACATAGGTTCCTAATCGAAGGTTGTTCTATCTTGACCTTTCTATACGCTCCTTAAGTTTGGCTTCTTAAGTAACCTTTTGAAATGCCTTGTATATAAATGTTATAATTTCTTTCGACAATTATTTATAAATAATAAAAAACTCGCGTGTTTACATTAAAATATTGAGTTGAACCTGAAATAAGCTAACATGTTAACTGAGATCATTGAGTCGAAGCTGAAATAAACTAACGTGCTAACTCATTTATTTGCCATATATAAAAATAGAATTTATATAGTTATATATCAATTTCAATTCTTCGAAAACGAACTTCTGGTCGGTGCAGCGAAAGAGTTGAAGTTACTAATCCTTCCTGATATTATAAAGAAATGGATAACTGATAAACGTCTAATCCTAAAGATAATTTGCATAATTTGCAAAATCCGTAACTCTGCCGGTTATCGAATACAACGTTCTCGAATAGTGACTTTTTTGTATGCGCGAACATATGAGGTAATAAACTGAGATATTTTAATTTAACAGATAATTCTAATTTACTTTTACGATATAAAACTGTTGATATACAAAGCTTCGTATTCCCAACACATAGGTAAGCACGATTCAATTGTAATTTTGAATGTAATCTATTCGGTAACCTATATTTCTCATATAACGTATATTTTCGTCATTAGCCTTCTTTGATATGTCATAATTCTGTATATTTGCGCTTCATTCATATTGTCTCTTATATGTATATACAAACGCTTTTATGTACATCAGTAAATCGATAAGTTATTATTATTACAGTATCCATTATGTATGATGTCGCTTTGTGTCCAATACCTGAAAAAACCATAATAAAACGGGTTGTTAATTTTGATTTAATTGTATTGTTTATTTAGTTGATAACGGAACTATCAATTTATGTGATCATTTTTCAAATATTGTACATATTTTACACGCAATTCGAAATCAGGACTGGAAGCAAAAGCAACAATTTCCAGTGTAATACAATATCTTGCTATGGAGCTATATAACCTTTATCTATACAATAACGAATATTGTATAAAATTAATGTTTATGATCTTCAAAATTTTTAAGAGTAAAACTGCAAGATATTAATCTAATTTTAATGCCATTACCGCACCGCGAGCTGATAGCGGGGATTGCTCTTTATATTAGAAAAATATTTTCTCACAAACGCACTTTTTTATGGTATCTTTCATGCTCTGGTATGTATTCTTACTTTTAAAAAAATTTTTTTTGAACAAAGGTGGAGTTAAAAAGCTCTCACCTGGACTAATAGTCGCCATTCGTCCTCGTTCAGAGCATGCTTTATCTTCACGAGGACATTCGCTGGTATGTTGGAAGGCACCGAAGTCTGTGCGGTATTCGGCGTGGTAGGCACATATTGCACCTGCAACAGTTGTGACACCGTAGGTCTTGCTTTCGGGTCGTGCTGGAGGCACTTCCGCATTACGTCGATTAGAATAGGCGGCGCGCGTTCACAACTCTGACGATCCTCACTGTTTGTCGTGGCCGGGAACGAAATGTTCGGTTTCGGATTAGTTATAGCGTTTACCTTTGCCCACTGAGAACGTATATGGTGGAAAGGCGTGTACCCATACACCAAACTGTACAAGATACATCCTAATGACCATACGTCTGATTTGAAACTTATCTGTCGGAAGAGAAAAACATGGAACTTCTGAGCCACTCTCGCTTTTCAGTTTATGAATCTTCAATCCTTTCGATTTTTAATATCAAGTTATAAACTTTTAATTCAGTTATTCATTTAAATAAGTTATAATTTCGATTTAATTATAACTTCAGTGACATTCTACTGTATCTATAGTCATCTTCTCGAAATGTGTTTCCTTGAATAATCATTAAAAAAATGCATCTATTATGAGTTATTATTTATTTCGTCTTACCTTATATTTAACATTGTGCGTAGGCGAATCGGAGTTTCCACCAATGTCCATTAAGGCTTCAGGACTAATGTAATTTAACGTTCCAATCGGATTATTTTTTACAACGGATGTCATGTCCGAATTTATACTGGAGGCAATTCCGAAATCTATTAATTTGAGTCGACCTCGTACTAATAAAAAGTTCCCTGGTTTCAAATCTGAATGTATGACTCCTAAACACAAAGATATATTTTGTCATAGGAAAGATATAATTTTGTCATAGGATAATTATATACGCGCAATTAGGTATGTTATTTTTACCATTATCGTGTATGTGTTTTACAGCCGTAAGCATTTCAGTCCAATAATACAGAATCATCGTGAGAGAAATTTGCTTCTCTTGGGACATAGATTTTAAGAGTCGACTGAGATCGGTATCACCCATTTCCATTACCACATAAACCATAGAGTCTTTGATTTGACTGAAATAATCAAGTAAAATTAACGAGAATCCGTGAGAGGCAAATACTTCGTTAATATCCATCCATCAACTACCACTAACATCTCTCAAAAATGTTTTTATAGCAAGATATTGTTACCTTTGAATATTTGCAATGTCGCAATATATACTCACTAGTCGAACATTTTGACAACACAGGGTGCCTGTAACTTATGCAGCATGGAAATCTCATCCAAGCAGCCTTGGGCCGAGTCTTTGTCCATTTTGCTCAGGTCAACGCATTTGATGGCGCGTAACTCACCGCAGGATGTATTCTGCACTCGCAGAACCTCGCCGCTCATTCCGCGGCCGAGGGAGCCTAGGATCGTGTACTCTGTATCTTTTACGATTAATGTTTTGCCTTGCCGTTGTGGGGGAATGCTCGACGGTACGGTGAACTGCACGTTTGCCATTTTATCAATTATATTTATTTGTGGGATCTCCTTGGGTTGTCTATCGCGGACTGAGTAATGCGGATTCTTGCAGTCCGCATTCGGAATGACGTTATGCTCCCCGCTGTACTTCCGAGAATCTTGTATTAATTTTATGTCCGTATTGGAACCGATTATCATCTGTTTGCCTTCATTTTTATTTTGCACAGTCTTTCTACTATTTCCCAACATATCAAACTGTTTATTCTCCTTCACTTCCTCGATAGGTTTCCCCAATTTCAAATCTGAATGTAATGACAACTTAACGCATAACAAAACACGATCATATAATAATTTAGATTTAGTTACATGTAATTTGATGCATTGTAACACTTACCATTATCGTAATTTGTTTCTGTCTGTACTAATTTTATATCCGATAGTCCAATCGTCTTTCTAGTTCTATCTTCCTCTGGTTGGGGCTCAGATGTAACGTTTTTTGCCTCGGTGCGTGTGTGCAACAAAAGCGGCTTTGATTCCAAAGAATGAGCCAAGGAATCACCGTGCATCAATGTAGCATCTGTTAAAGGTCGCCTTACATTTTTGGCATCCATTCCAAAGTATCTAAATAATGAAATTCAAAAATTAATATTTTCTGCGACTATTCAAATCTCTATGAAAGAATAATTTTATTTTAGATACAAAGAACAATGAAAATCAAATCCTAAACAAAAATCTTATTTTTCATAATAATTAGTCTCAGTTGCAAATTAGTAATATTTGAGTTAAATATATTTTGTTCATGAAATTAAGCAGAGAAATAGTCTTATTGTTAAAAAAATAAATTAAACATTGTTTATTTCTAATGCATGGATTGTAAAATATAGAATATAATATAAACCTCAAAGAATCCGGTTTTTCCATGATAGGTGTGCGAATTGCATTCCTAGACATTTGCACATGGTCCCTCGCAATAAAGCTCTTGCCTTCCATCGGTGTATTATGATACCAACTGGACTGGAATATCGTGGAAGGAGTTTGAACTTGATTCTTGTTCAGGTCGCCAGATAGTTTGCTCTGCGGAGTTTGAAACAGCTGCTTGTGTGATATGCACGGATTCGGATGCGCACTGACTTGCACGTGCTTTAACGGAGTTTCCGAGGTCAAGCGATTAATCACGGTTAACGACTTGCTCGCTTCGTTCAGCGAGGGTGTGCTGAATTCCGTACGGACTGTATTTTTCGCCGGTGTATACTTCTCATTCGCTTCGTATTTCGTCATATTCTTCTGTGAACTATATCTTGCGGGATGCATCAGGTTTTCAGATGTCTGAGAAGTGCAGGTGGCAGATTCCGACAGAGAGTTCGGAACCTTGTGAGATTCCTCCTCAACATCTTTATTTGCCTGCTCGGTAAAACCATACGTGTTTTTATATCGTTGGTCATCCTTGTTCAGATTCAGTTCGCTATTTCTTAATAATATCTTATTATCCACCGATGTATTATATACGGATCCTTCCTTTCTTTTATTTAATATATCTGACATGTAGGCATTTTCGTGGTGCACCTGATTGCTGTTTATTGGTTGCAGATTCTTATTCGTATCGAGCTTCGTGTTATAATCCCCTTTATAAACCGAGAGCGATGGCGGAGGTAATGCTATATTCGCTGAGCGATTATGAACAGTGTCCACCTGACTCCTCGAAGCAAACGTTTCACTGTGAGATTCCTGTGTTTTTTCTTCGTATTTAGAGCTATAAATTTCTGGTTTATTCGAATCGTTTACATCGCTGACTTTACGTTGTTCCCTATCAGTTGCAAAGTCTATTTCTCTTTGTACAGAAGGAGTGTTGGTCACAACTTCAAGAGTCTCTTTTGGCAATGTGCACGTAGTTTTCAAAACTCCATCCGTCGGCGACTCAATCGATGAGGAATTGATGCGTGATTTAGGCATCAATTCCTGAACAACAAGCGTTTCCTGTAGGACATCTTCGGAAGAATCGTCTTGCAGCAGAGGCTCCTCAAAATCCGACTCTTCCTCAGATTGATGGGGTTTCTCCTCGGTCTCATCATCATCATCGTCCTCATCGCTTTCACACAAATGCAGAAGCGCCTTGAGACGTACTGGCTGAGACTTTGGGAGCGTAACACTCTGTGTTAACAATCTGCCGGCGCTTATGTTATCAAAACTGTATCTGTTGTTTGTCGTAAGATCCGACATTATCAAGAGACTTCTGAGACAATCTTCACTGATCTATGAAAAGAAGATGATATGTTTATACAATATCCATGAATTACGATCAGTTACAGCTGTTTCATGAAAAAACATAACTATGACAAACATGAAACATCAGAAATTACTACCACTTGCAATAATTGTGGATTTTATTGTGGGAATTTTATTAGAAACATTTGGCGTAAAATAAAATAGAGTTGATAAATTATTAACGGAAATTTGAAGATATTATTCACATCCATAATTCTTTTATAAATCATTTTTTTTGAACTATGATAATGATATCATATATAAGAACATTATATATACATTTCTTAATATTGATATATTATTTTAGTTACTAAAAAATCTCTTATTTTGAATATGTACAACAAAATAACTGAGAAAAACAATAAAGAAATAAGAGCTTTTTGGACTTGTATACCAAGTAATTATTAATATTATACAGAAACAGCTTCTTTATAAAATAACATACAAATGATAATGATAAATATATCACGATTTTTGTATAAGATCTTGAGACATTAAGACTCAATTAACTATATTTTTAATATAGCTCTACCTTAAGATATCTATAAAACTCTTGGGAATTTTACAAGACAATGCATATAGCACACAAGTTACACATGTGTGTCATTATTTTTTACTATTATGTGAAGCCAAGCATCTTCTCAGATAAAACCTGAATACATAATATATTTGTAAAAATTAATATGCAATTTTCTATATGATTCCTTATTTACTTATAAATTGCAAAGGAATGATAGTACCAAAACAACCCATGCATGCTACAGAAATCACATAAATCATCTCATTACAGATACAAACCTATTAATTCATATCTTACGTGAAAAACTTTAATTTCATATAATGTAGTCAAACTTTTACTGTTTAAGAATTACTATCTGGTAAAGGACCCCGCAACGGTCATGGGGGGTTTTGGCTCCCAGTCAAATTTGATAATAATGTAGGATAATGTAGTTCATAACATGCTGATAAAAATTGTCCATAGGCACCAAGCCCAAAAATGGACAGTTTCCGAGATAAAAGGCATTAAAGAGTGGAAAAATGAGAATTTCAGGTTTCAGCTAATGGCAGTTTGCAACAGGCTGAATGCCATGCTTTCACTAAAACATTTACTTGATTGCTGGATGAATTATACTTATGCACAGTATGCGTGTTGACATAGTCAAGTCAATGATCAAACCATATGTAATACGTCATTGCATCGAATGACATGTATGCAACATATATAGCAAGCAAGAATCATTTACTTATTTAATGTTAATCTTTGCAATGTATGAAAAGTACAATAATAACTGTAATTTACAAGTCGGTTTAGTAGTATTATATTGTACTTTTCATACATTGCAAAAATTAACATTAAATAAGTAAATGATTCTTGCTTGCTATATACGTTGCATACATGTCATTTGATGCAATGACATTATATTACATATGGTTTGATTATTGACTTGACCATGTGAACACGCATACTGTGCATAAGTATAATTCATCCAGCAATCAAGTAAATGTTTTAGTGAAAGCATGGCATTCAGTCTATTGCAAACTGCCATTAGCTGAAACCTGAAATTCTCATTTTTCCACTCTTTAATGCCTTATATCTCAGAAACTGTCCATTTTTGGGCTTGGTGCCTATGGACACTTTTTATCAGCATGTTATGAACTACATTATCCTACATTATTGTCAAATTTGACTGGGAGCCAAAACCCCCCATGACCGTTGCGGGGTCCTTTATACAAAAATGTTCTTACTGAAAGTTTTTATCATACAATTTATTGGATAATACATGTACATTAAGTATTAGAGATAAATAAGAAATTATATTTAAAAAATCCGTATATTAGAAAAATATTTATTGTTGCGCAAACGACGTAACTGTGATTGTCATTATGAGAACCCAGATCATATAAGAAGAGGTAATTTTTTATTACAACTTTTCCTCTGCCTTTCTTTCACTCTCTTTTTGTCTCTGTAAGATGGATTTCCAGTTGGCCATAAGCTTCTCCGGAGTATAAATAATTACCTGAGAAGGAGTTTGTGTGGTGTTTCACGCGCGTTAAGAGCCCATCGACACGTTCGATGTCAAGCCTATATATTCCTCGCTCCTCAGTAGTCGGTCGGTCCCGCGATTGCCCGCGATCTAAGCACGCAGAGCCGAGAGAATTAGGTTGACCGGGAGCGGACCAAGCACGCATCTGTCAAACTGAGCAGTCTCCGTAGATCGTTCCGAATCGTCGGCGTCAGTCGGCAGAAGGTACACTATGCACGCGCATCGCGAGCTCGTCAGCGCGCAACACAAGGATGTTGTTTACACCCGTGGTTTTATCCCCGTGCGTTACGCGCCATCACCCCCTTCGTGCCATCGCCTTTCAAACTTGGACTGACTCGGACGTCCTCGACTACCGGTCGGCCGCGATCACGTCATGGCGTTTGAATTCGCAAGCGCGGCGCCCATTGGTCGGTAATCTAGGGACAATTTGGCGGCAGAGCGCGAGGGGACGATATTAGGACTATTTCAGGAACACCGCGTTTGGCGGGACACGCGAATGTGAATTCTGTTGCGTTTTTATGTTATTTGTATATATACTATAATATAATAATGATATTATAATGATATTAATATATTACTATAATATTTATTATATTATTATATAAATATATTATAATAAAATTATATTGTTATATTATAATAATGTATAATTTAGTTATTATAATTATATTATTTGCACTTAGTTATCAGATTACATATATGTCACTGATAATTTATTTTTAATAACAAAACTAAAAGAGTAAGCTTAAATTGAATTATTTATCGAATTATCCACGCGTGCTTGTTAATAAGTTTCTGATTAATAGCTGTCTTTTTTTTTACAGTTTTGATAATAGCAAATTTTTTTTTATTTTAAACTTTAACGTAAAATATTTTATTGTTAATTTCGATCACGATTGGTTCGCTGATTGGTTGACGTCTAGGGAATTTTCGGACTTACACCATTATTGCTAACGCACTAAAATTAATATTTTCAAATGTCCTCCATTTAAACAAGCTGGTACTATTAAACTCATGTAATTAAGTCAATAGCGGATACAAAAGCAATAAAACTTAAGCAATAAGCGAATCGACCGATCACAGCTGAGACGCTATTAGTAGTTCTATACAAATTAAAAATTAATTGTATTTATACGATATATAGATTGCGAACAAATATACTGATAAAATAATTTGTCTATGTAAAGACAATAAACATGTGGTAATAGGAATTAATTAAATTACGTACTTATGCGAAACCACTTTCAATTGAATTTGTCGTCTAAAAGAAAAAAGCGTGTAAATAAATCATATTTTAATTAAAGTGGAAATACAATACAACAGTTTTCCTTAATACCAAGTAATTTAAAGATATGAAATCTATTCGAATTATCCGACTTGAAACTTCGTCGCTTCACAAACTGATTTGTACTGATAATACAAAATAAAGAGATGCTATCAGTAGTTTTGTTGCTGCATAAAAATCGTACATAGAATTTTATCTAATCGCAGAATTGTCAACTCCCATCCGATGCTAAGTGTCCATAAAAATGTCTCGGGAACTGTGATAGAAACCGAAATTGTCGACTTTAGTCCTCTTCTCTCTCATTGGGAAATGCACAGTCTTCGTTTCTGAGAACCTTCCTCCCGCCTCTCTGAAATATTGTCTCGCGCTCAACGGTTTTTGTTGAAAAGTAAATTATCTCCATTACCTACGCAATTATTATGTTACTAAATCGTTTCTGTCACAGTTCGCGCGCACAAATTACTCGGCGATTAAATTAAGTTACACTTAACAGCTATTCTCCTTTATACATTATTCCTCGTCTTGAAAAGAACCAACGTGAACCCGGTACCATTCGCTTCTTCGACCTTCCCAGGAAGTCCGCTCCTGCACATGTTTAGGAACTACTTGGCAGCAAATATGATGACACAAGCGATTCGTACAAAACGGGTATATGTTCTATTTATAATCATCATCTCTTTTCTTATTTACGATCTAGTAATTATTCTAAGCGTGTTTTCCTTCTCCTCCCCTCTATCTTTTAATGAATAATGCTCAAAGTTTCTATACAAACATATTGGTTCTTCACGAAAACGACTGTTGCTACAATTTAAATTAACATGACAATGATTCACATGACGAAACTAAACGCTCGCCCCCTCCCCCCTCTCTCTTTTCCTCTTTTTCTCTTCTCTTCGTACAATGTCAGAAACGAATTCAAAAACGTCAAGACAATGAACGAATCGAAAGAGTTATGATGAGCAGCTTCAAAGAACGTGTCCCTCTTGCGCGGCAACGTATTGAGGAAACAGAGATATAAAAAATATTTTATTTAAATCTTTAAGGACGAAATTAGGAATTGCGAGTAATGAAAGGAAGTATTCTAGGCTACTCCGAAGATAATTTTAACGTTTCCCGTTGTTATAGTTGAGGGTCCGTAATGGTGCTTTGAACGTGGACGCAGATTGTTGTTGGATCTGATATGCTACAGGATGAATTTTAAAGCCGTATAATCTGAAAAATAGAAATTATCTCTTAACTTTCAAATGTCGTACTCTATACACGCGAAAAATTCAGTTTTAGACATTAAGAATAAGTTTCAGATGTTAATAATGTTAAAACATTAATTTATATATATGTTAATTTTATATAAATCTTTAATATAAATACTATATGAATACATGCTGCATTTGCTTTGATTAAATAAATATAATGTAAAACTTGCTGTAGGCAAATGTATATATATGGAAAACCAGGAATTAATGTTAATCATCAGTTAACCACATCTCTATCATTTATTTAATGATCATTTTAACTTTCTTTCATGCAAACACAATAATGATAAACATTTGAAAATAAATCACTAAAAGATTGAATATAATATCAAGAAAAATAAATGAATTTTTACCCATTCTAGATTGATAGAATTTACAGAAAAATGTAGAATTTTCAAATATTTGTATAAAATAACATCAAAGTCTATTTAATTAATCTATTTATATATTTGAATAATCAATTTATTGTATAAATCAAAAGACACGGTAGTGTAATGCGAAGCGAGACACCGCACCGTGACTTTTTTACGCGACACGAAGAGTTGCGAGTACCCGAGATTTTGTATAATTTTAACTATAATTTTAATATAAAATAATAAAAAATTCAATGCTTCTTAGAATTTCTGACTCGAAGACAGTATTTTGAACATTGATCTTTTTTTTACGCCATGCAATTTAGTTACTCTATTAATTACTCCACTATTAAAAATACTTATCACACGTGTATAATCTGATACACACACATTAATGTATAATCACTGATACTTACCTAGGTACAAATTGATTTGCCGCACGTTTTGGTCTATATTCAGGATGGACCATGAACAACATATGTGGAAATCCCGTTCCAAAATACGCTCCGTCAGTGTGATGATGTCTCGAGCTCTTCGGTGTATAAACGTCCATGCACTTAGGACAGTAGCTCTTGACCATTGCTTCGCCAGGAACGTCACTAAGTCCTAGCGGCAACATCGGCTGGGATTCACAATAAACTCGCGGACAGTGACCGAAATCGCCCGCTTGATATTTCTCGATCATCTGAGCAATGCCACGATTGGTAAGTATGTAACGCGCGTGGATGAGACCGTAAAGCATCTCCGCAGCTTGCTCGATCAAGTCTGATTGGTTTGGATTGTCATCCAGATCATCGTCTAGCAAAGAAAAAGTTGAACGACAAATGTTAGAAATAGTCATATTTAGCGTATATCACGTCTCTTTCTGTCAATTTATTTGATACACTTAACAAGATAAATTGACAATTCAGTTCAACGACTTACCAGGTTCAAGATCAAGAATCATATCTAATGCCTGACGATAATGTGGTACTTGTTCATTCAGTCCCGTTAAATTGAATTTATCTTGAATATAGTCCTC